ATCTCTCGAAAATGGTGGATGAACATCAAAGAGATTGGGATCAGCATATACCACTATTCCTAATGGCATATAGAAGTGCAATTCACAACACCACCGGACTTTCACCATCGAAGATTTTATTTGGTCGAGAATTACGGTTGCCTTGTGACTTGGTGTTCGGATCACCAGACGACGGCACCACAAACGTAGAGGACTACGCGGATGAACTGAAGGAAAGGTTAATGAAAATTCATAAGACCGTTAAATGTAAGATTGCGCTAGCCAGTGATCGGATGAAAGCTCGTTACGACCTCAGAGTTAATTCTACGGGATTTCAACAGGACGATAGGGTATGGTTGTATAACCCACAGCGCAAGAAAGGAAGGTCACCAAAGTTAACTCCAGCATGGGAAGGTCCTTATACTGTCATCAAGAGGATAAATGATGTTGTGTACCGGATTCAACGCAGCCCTGGAAGTAAGATGAAAGTAGTTCATCTGGATCGATTGAAGAGATACCAGACAGGAAACCTTGATCGGGACGATCAAATTTGAGAAGGGGGCAATGTCAAGGTGTATTACTGGTTGCATAACTGCATACTGCTAAAATCGCAACGTGCATTGAGGAACCTGGCGCATTCGCCAGAAAGTAAAGAAAATTATAGAATTCTTTAGAAAAATCTAGAAACAACCGCCAGGGGGTATATAAGGCCCGCGCTTTGACAGTTGGACAAGTTTGAAGTTTGAAGTCTAAAGTCTGAAGATAGTCTGAAGTTTGATAATACCGCGAAATACCGTTAGAGTAATAGTAGTTGCATAAGTTGTGTTGTAAATAGTATAAGTTGTGTGTACAGAGTGAAACAAATAAATTCGTTAAGTATTTTATCGTGAGTTTAAATAGTGGACCCACGGAATCCGTAACAATATGCACAAAATCTCGTATCTAGATATTGTAGTTTTCTAGAAACTTCTAACGCAGGCTCAGCCTGGGACACTCTGTATAAATACTTGAATTTTGTCAACCATTATACATACGTCATTCAATTTTTACAAAATGTGAATAGAAATATATCATTATCTAAACAGACCGGGGCCACATTTTAGCTTCGCCGCCGCCCCGGGACCCCGACAGGCTTAGTCCGCCACTGTAGCTAATAATTTATAATTAAATTATATTAACAATTTGTGTCAAGTGTATATTGTATTAATTTATTAAAGTTTATATCATTAAAAATACGCAATAGTCTAATGACTGTAATTTAAAATAAGAAATATATCTAACTAACGAAAAATTATAATCAAAAGATATTTTTTATTTAGAGTAATAATTGACATTTCTACTATTTTACCGAACCATTCCGTACTTAACCAATATATTTCAGTAGTTTGCCAACTTGGTTTACACTGGAATACAACCACATACAGTTTATTCTACTAAAGGTACGTCCATAGTGCACCGGCTTGCCGCTTAAAGGTTGATTCTCACTATACCTCCCGTATCAGCTACTTTCCGTTTCCCTTCCGTTTGCATAAAATATGATATCATGTAAATGAATGGAACAATGCACACTATCCGTTCCGTTTCCTTTCCTTTCCATATCCTTTCCTTCCATACATTTTTTTTTTTTGGCGGACGGACTAAAGCGTATCGGAAACAGCGTTGTCAAGCTCTTACATTTGTACCAGCTCTGTTAACATTTTGCTATTTATTTATTCTTTCACCTCTTAATTAAATCTATTACCTTTTTCAAAAGATACAAATTTTTAAAATAAAACTTTCGTAAGAATACAATCAAAAATACCGAAAGGATATGAAAGGGAAAAAGAAGGTATAGTGAGAATCAACCTTTAAGCGGCAAGCCGGTGTACTATCGACGTACTCAACACCCAGAATATTAAAATTAGCAAGGAAACAAAATACAAGGTATAGCGTGAGTCAGCTAGAAGGATTTATAAGTTAGGCAAACACGACCGTCTTACTTGTAAACATATATTAAATACTGAATATATTATTAACTTATATATCTTAGCGTGAAAGCAGAAATATTTATGTGTAATTTGATGGTCCTTGAATAAAATACCACTTAAAATTAATGATACTGAATTAAAATTAGTAAACAAACATAATGTAAACAATACATAGAACAAAATTATGCCAAATTCTTCCAGAATCATATTTTTTAATTAAATATCTTAGAAGTATCTTCTTAATTAAATAAGAAGATATTATAGAGTCTAAGTATTTTTTGCCATTCAAAATTATTATTTAAGTATGTACAGGGTGGTCGAAATTGGTATATTTTAACAGAGAAAACATATTTCCTGACTAGATAGAAAAAATCCAATATACAGTTCATACCAAATAAACTTTTAGTCGCGTGATTAAGCTTAATCGACACAGCGCCAGCGTTACCCACTTTTATATATATTCTTTTAATCAAAATATTTTAGGAAACAAAATTATAAATATATAAACAGTTATTATTTACATCAACAAAACTCACCTTCTAAACAGCACTTAATGGACATAAAGAGCCATTACTACCGCTTTCCCGTTCAAAATATTCTAATAAAGTTTTTTACGGCTATTAGGGTCTGCCAGTAAACATTGTCAGGCTTAAAGTATCATAAAACTATTTATTTAAACCAAAAACTCGTAATACACAACTAAAGTGTCAAAACGGATGACAATGTCAGGAAATAAATAAATAAATGCACAATAAATTGACATTTTTACAGCAGAGCTGCCACCTGAATCCCCAGCGCAAAATTTAAATTCCAGTTAAGGTTGTCGCCCACTAGACCGCGGCGCGACGCGGCGCTGCGCCATGTGGAAATTTCTTTTGTCTGCTTGCCATGTATTTAAATGGACCAACGCACATTAGAGCGCAGAAGCGCGCCGCGGGATTTCCGTCAAGAAGTCGGAAGACTTCTCTAGCAACTTTTTTCCGTCTCCCGCGTTTCGGCGCGTTGCAGTGTGCGTACTCACAAGGGAAATAATTTTGCATTCGAGTCTTTTCAGTTGGCTTTTTGACTAGGAACTAGTGATATGTATCAATGGCAAAATTGTATTTTTAAAGGTAAATTAGGCAAATCGATTTTCATAAAGGAATATGATATTTTTTTTAGTCTTCCCTCACTAGAGACAGATGGACGAAATGCCTTTCTATCAAAGATTTAATATAATTGAGGGGTGTAGAGGCAAAACTGGCAATCTCCACTTTTTAACAAAAGTGGCAATCTCCAATTTTTAAATTCTAATTACCTAAATATATAAAAAAGATCAGGGTTTTTTTGACCACATAACTAATATACACATATTGACATTAATCGCTTGTCAATACTTTCACTGTCAAATGAGATACGGGCTAATAACTTTTTGAATTCTCGACGATTTTGAAAATTGCCCGAACTTTTTTATTTCACGGACAAATAAAATTCTGTAAAAACGTTCATAAGGCACTTTTTTAAGCACAATCCAGTGCCGTAGTCAGTTTTTTTTCTTTTAATTATTATATTTTTTCTATTTTAATCAGATCACCTATTCATTGACCTCTCCTTAGTCACTTCAGATATAAATAAATATAGGTACTTGCTATAATAAATAAATATAAATGCACGTGGAAAAAAAACAGTAATGATTAACATTGACATTCTAGTCAACATACCTGTTGAACGTACACGTGTCGCATTAATTAAGAGCTTTTGTAGACGGAAAACAAACATAGAATAATTACTTTATTTACAAGATTTGGTTGAAGAATTGTTTGCTATTCAAATCGCACATTTCTTAAAATAATAGTCTAGTCAAATTGTATTAAAAAAATTCTTTTGTAGGAAAATTTGGGGTCGTTCTGATTTATTTTATTTTATATATTTTTAGGGTGCTGAGTTCGAATCCGAGATGTGCAAGATGGAGAAAAATGCAAAAAAGTGAAAAAAACGGATTTTTTACGGTTTATTATTTATAACTTTAAAAATATCAACTTTTTGTAAATAATCTTTCTATTAAAAATTAACGTAGGTACAAACAATTTACTATAATTTTTGTTATTTAATTTTTTTTTCTCTGAAAAACTCTTCGGGCTCAATAGTCAATTGAAAATTAGTGTTTTTTGGTTGTTTGTAAATACCTTCTTTTTGTACTTCAAAACTCTTAATGTATTACTAAACTTTAATGTCTGGTATGTTTTTTAGTTTCCAGTTGAATGTCATATAGATAGCGAATTCAACAATTATATCAACTCCGATAATAAAAAATTGACTTTACATTATATTTAAATTGTAAATATAAGTACAGCTCTAGTTACAGATGAAAAAAGCCACTCTCACTTGTTAAAAAAGATGTGTATGAATAATATAGAGTGCATTATGTATTAGCATTCTTAAACTATCAAATTTAAAAATAAAATGAAAAAGTAAAACCTCTTGGGATAATGAACATCTCTGTACAGATATAAAACAGAAGTATATTTACAATCCAACCACACTTTTCCAACGAATGGCCATCGTAAAATAATTAGTACTTGCGTTTCAAAGTTAGTTCCAATTCTCTTTTCTCTTATCGCTTTTGATGGCTACTCTGAGAAGATTGTGGAAACCCGAGGGCATAGAAAAATAGACAAAAATTAAAAGAAAGCAATCTGCAACATTGGCAACATTGTATCACATCAAGCTGAGGAGAATGCCGATCTCAGAAGAACCGATGACAGGAGAAATCAAATTTCTCACTCAAAAAACTCCCAAACGCCTATTTTAATTCAAATATCGAGAATAGTTCAGAAGTTAATTGGAAAAAAATCAAAATAAAACTAAAATTTACACACCCTGTATCTCTGAAACGAAGCATTTTAAGACATATCTATACTAACTGTTTTACTTATTTTTATCTGAAGAATATGCTGCCAGTTTCCTGAATTCAATTCGGTCCACCCTGTATAATTCTAACAGCATTGCACATGTTAGTAGACCGAATTTTGAAAAAAGAAGTTATCTATGTCATTATTAATTGTAGGTACCTACCGCAAATAACATCCAAAGCATAATTTTTAATATATGAGTATATATTGACACTATCCTTGCCTACTTCTTTTTCTAATAATTCGATCAGAATTAACGTTGGCTTGTCAAACTTTGTCACAATTTCTTCCAACACCGAAAAATGGAAAGCTGGTGATAATATCTTGCGACCGTTCTTCCATGTTGCACCTAAATTAAAAATTTGAAAAATTAAATGATTGTTTTTGGACATGTTATGTTGGCTAATACTCATAGATAAGTTATAAAGAACAAATAGAAAACAAATTTCTTGCAGTATAGGTATAAAATAAAATTATATAAGGATCCTTGCCACTTAACTGCTTATATAGAAATTTAATTCTACACTGTGTTTGTCATATGTGGATCAACCTGCTCTCACTACCGGTTTCGGAGCCCTACTCCATCATCAGGTGAGCTTCGGCAGATTCACAAAATGACAACCACAGCGCAAAGATAGTTAATTCCGACTTGTCGGAAAGTGTCGGTTAGATATTAAGTCCCGAACGGGAGATAGCGGCCTGCGTGCAATGAAGCGGCCCAAGCTCACCTCATGAGGGAGTAGGGCTCCGAAACCGGTAGTGAGAGCAGGTTGATCCACATTATGACAAAAACAGCGTAGAATTAAATTTCTATATAAGCAGTTAAGTGGCAAGAATCCTTATATAATTTTGTTATAAAGAACAAAAGATTTTTAAACCTAGTCCTGCAAACCTAAAATCAATAAAAGCAGTCTTTAACTTCTTGTGTAGAAAGCCCTGGGACTGTATGATGAGTTATGATTCAAGAAAGGGGGACACAATGGATCTGTAAGGTCGAAGTGATTAACCCCCCTCCCACTCATTCTAAATTCTAAAAAAAAATTCTAACTTCTTGTAAAAAAAATCCATAAGAGAATGATCCACTCCCTAATACAAGAAGAGAGACCTATATTCTATTAAATAAATTAAACAAAAAATCATCTTACCAGTAGATATTAAAATGCCATCTTCCAGCCAGTTATGCAAAAATTTGTAGTCCAGACTTTTCTCTATGAGAGTGTTGGATGAGAGGAGCCATTCCACGAAATTGTAATTCGATATCAGTATCATCGGTCTATACAAGAGCTCGACGTAACAAAGACCATCATTTTCCAGAAGAACTTCTTGCATTCGTGTCAGCGATTCTAAAATAACATATAAACTGTTTTTATAATATACGTCCAGTTATAATAGAAATTAGATTAAATACAGTGTATTGGGAATCCCATTTTTGTGTGTTTGGGACATCCTGTACTCTTTAATGTTATACTGTCTGTTGGATTATGATGTTTTAGTAACGTTCTGATGTTCTTTTCAAATATGGAATTGTCAAAAAAGAAAAAAAATTGGTTAAAAACGGTATATACATAATGTGGTTAAAATCTGGAGTGAATTTATAGTTATTTTTTATACAAGGCGATAAAATAGTATTTTATCGTCGACCGAAAAGATTAATTCACGAGCGATAAAATCACGAGTGAATTAATTTCGGGAGACGATTATGCAATTTTATCGTCGTGTATACAACAATATTTTTTCCATAGCGAGTTACGTTTTAAAAAATATTCAGAAATTATTATTTCAAGGAATTTATTACACGTAGAAAAAATATTGTGCTGGGTTGGCGTTGGTTTCTATGTAATTTGACAAATAAATAAAGCTGTCTCTTTAGTTGTCAGTTTTGAGTCAATATTTTTTAATTCTCTTTCGTGTCGATTGCTTATTGAATAGGAGCCAGAAATGATTCAAAACGAAATAAGTAAATTACCAACAGATATTCAGGCTAAGGCGACAAACGCCATATCCAAACTGCTTCCATTTAAACCTCGAATAACTTATGAAAAGGAATACAAAAATTTTTGTATTTTTTAAAAAAGCATTTTAAAAACGTGCGAGAAGAAATAAAGTTTTTAACCTATCCTCGCTGTTAAAGTCTCTAATCATCATCTAATCGTTTAATCTACCCTTGCGGTTAAATTACTATTTTATCAACTATTTTTGATAGATATAAAACCAAAAACTATATTAATACTTAACTATATTTTCTTGCATGCCAAAGATAATAGAATACCTAAATCCGCGAAGGAGAACTCACATATTCTTATACAAGATTTTTTTTATGGCGCGACCAACGTTGCAATATTTAAAAAGGAATATCTCTTGTTTTTTCAGTGCAACACCCTATATATTATTTTTCTTTCAGATGCATAATTAAAACATTAATATTTTATGTATTTAAAGATTTATTAAATGTTTAACGGTTTTGCAGATATTTGTGTTCTTTAAAATGACATAATATGCACAAAAGAAAGGCAGTTGCTGATATAATAAATGGTTGAAAAACCTCATCATTTTAAAGCCTTTGTTATCTGTTAATTAAATTGTCTTATTTTTAGAAGGTATTTAATTTTAATCTCTAATCACTGTTGTCTGTATGCACAAGCTTATATATTTAATCGTCAATATAACCTATAGAGCAAAAAACGCATATTCGCAAATCATGTTGATATCTAAACTTATATTTTTAACAAATTGAAAATTTCGATAGAAATATTTTTATTCGATGTTTTTTATTTAGAAGATAAGAAATATTATGTGATGGTGATATTTTATACCTATTTATTATGTGATATTTTTATACCTATTTATCTCATCCTAAATTATGTTTTATCGACGATATGTAAACATAATTTAAGTATTTACAAATATAAATAACATAAAAAAGATGTCATAAAATGTTGGTTTTATAAAAATTTTGCAGTCCTAATTTTCTTTTCAGAATGCATATTTAGGAACACAGAATAGGGTTCTACAGATAAATGTATAAATTATTTTGGGGTAGCCTTTTAATTGTTTTCTTACTTCTGCAGAAAACATTTATAGAATTGTTGTATAAACATTCTAAGATGTCTTACAGAACTTTTAAAACAATGGTTACAAAACAATCCTATAAAATTTCTGTACCAGTTCGAAACTGCTGTCTTAGAGTACCTACTGGTATAGCAAAAGGACTACAAAAGAACTTTTAGTTTAATATTCTTAAAGTGTGCATAAACTTTTCATTATGCAATTATTTTGTTGCATGGTACTATATTTAAAAATGTTTAAATCGTTTTAGTATTTCTGTTTGGTATAACTATAAACAAAACTATAACGCTGCACTACTACCTGGTCGGAAATTAAAATGGACACCCTAAAACAATAAAATATAATCTGAAAAGTCATTACACATTTTTATAAGTTGGTTTGTGGAGTCAAGAAAGACAATTTTAATGCGAAACAAGTTTTATGGTGAAATATGTGGGTAATAATAACATATTTTTGACGCGCTCTCAATTTATCTTACTATTATCATAGTTCTGGAAATTTTATATGGTAAAAAAAAACTAAAAATCAAAAATAAAAAGTAAATTTTTTATCCTAATATCTTTCTCAGTAATAATAAAACGCTTTCCACCTTTATCGTTGATCCTTTATTAGAAATATGCTAGTAAACACAATTTTTCCCTTTTCTTCACAAAATGGCCGCCAGAAAAAGGCCTCGTTTGTACTTCCAACATGGATTCTTGACAATATGACATTTTTGTGTCAATAGCAATGGTTAAAGAGCAAATATGCTTCATAAGTAGCTACTATACAATATAAAATATTAATAATTAATATCCGTCATGTTGTCATATTTCATGGTTACGGTAAGTTTTTCCTTAACAACAAGGATGACCTATTAAATTACCAATTAAGTGCCCTAAATACCTACATTCTTATAGCTATATTGATTTGAATGTCACATGGTTAATTAATTCATGTATTGTATATGTATTACATTACATATTATATATCAAAGTGGCAACACTGCAGAAGTTTAGATTTACGTTGATTGACACTATTGACAGCATGTGAGCACGATGATGTTGATGCAATAACAGAACTATAACAGAACAATTTAATTCTGTAACTGTAAGTTACAGGAACCTTTATAGAACTTTAGGCTATTTAAACGTTTCATTTCATGCAAATATACACACCACCACCTGGACTCAAGGCCAATCAACATGATATGGGCAAGGCAAATATGGCGGCGAAGGCAGCGCATTATTAAATTGTTTACCTTTAGCCTGAAAGGCCGGTAGTGGTAAAAGCCTCTGTTACTCTAGTGAGGATGTATTTATGGCTACTGCTTACACTTACTTCACTATAAGTAAAATATTGGAAAAAGAATCAAGCTTTTTACATCGAAAAGATCACAGAAAGATATTGACAACATTGACATTTGAAAATATAAATGGCCTGGATGTAAGTCTTTTTTTAGGTCACAACTGACCCTCACATACGTCAGAATTTATTATTAAATCCATCTTGTTCAGAATATCCAATATTTTATTGAAAAACTATGCAAAAAAAAGGAATTACGTCTTTACCACAATGCCCTATGTAATGAGAAAGAGTAAAGAAAACTAAGCTAAGCGTTAGTTTTACTTACGAACCCCCAAAAAGGTATTTAGTTTTTTTTTCTATATAAAATCTTGAAACACATATTATATTTTTTAGTTATCCTCACCTATTATAGTTTAAAGTTATTCCCATTAGTGTAATGCTGCAAAACATAGAAAAACTATTCCATATTATTTGATCCAAGCCAGTGTAGTTTATAATTCCAAGAGCATTTACCAAGGCTTTTACTAAGACAAGTAACTTCCTATACTGTCCATAATAGTATATATTTATTAAACGTTCAGTAAATTCTAAACTATGGTAGGTAAGTGTTTGGAATTGAATATTTAGTTTACAGTACGTCTGCTGGATCTGTGTCTATGAAAGGAATGCGGACAAAAAACATTTAAATAAACAGCAATATATTTTATACGTCGACTTGACGAGTACGTCACCGCAAATCGCTCCGCCCACTCATTTTATTGGCTACTTGCAAATTTGTCGAATTTTTATTGATGGGACGCGCCGTCTAATTTTTTACGAAAAACATCGAGAGAATTTCGTTTCCCCTCTCACGGATACCCCGTAGCTACAGAACGAACAGACGTACTGTATATCGCTATTTTCTGTCATATATTTCTGGTTATTTCTTTTTCCGATGATTTTGAACACCCTATACATGGTACTTCAAGTTTGAATATTTTAACACTACCTATTTTTTGAGAAAGCAGACCATTTTATAAAAAGTAACTAACTGATGTTTTCATAAAAGTAATAATACAAAAAATTCCATACTTATGTGGAGAACTTTAGACTCTTTTCTTAGAACTTAGAAATATTACGTAATCTAACCCGACATTGTGTGAAAAATGTCTATTTGGAAATAAAATAAAACAGGGTTTAAAATACGCGCCAAATAAAGCACTTCTATCTCCGCCATATTGAAAAAGGTTGATGGCCTTGTGTGGAGGTGGTGATGTGACAACATATTTGTAAACATAACCTCAAAACTTATTTAACAATATTTTGGTACAATTTTGGTACCTGTTGCCTTTCTGTTTATAGTTGTTTAGGATATTTTTTAACGGTGATTTCATAAAAGGTATGTTGTTATTAGGCATAATTCCAGATTAATTATTTGTTTAAGTTATTGTTTTAGCATTGTTTTAACAAACAAAAAATGTATAAAATAGTCGAGACAATAGAAAAAGGTTCTAAGCAACTAACCGTAGTCCCCCAGGCTTGGGAACAAGAAGGGATACTTTTTTGGCCAAAAATGAAGGCAGAAAAACTTATTAAAATAGGGACGTCTATCCCTGAAGATTCCTGGTTCCAAATGAGCTGTAAATTGAAAAGAAGAGAATTGGAAACATATGAAACTGCTGAAAAGGAGTTACGAGCTATGCTTAAAAAAGAAGATTCAACTGAGTCAGAGGAACCAGAGGTAGTACCAAGGCCAAAACGAGTTAGAGTTATGCTCCCCAAAAAAAGCACATCTGGGTATGACTTTAACGAAATGGCAAATTCCAAAAAATGGAAAATTTTTAAATGAACACTATTGCTTAATAAACTTTCATAAATTTTTTTCGTTTGCCTCCGAAATGCCCCACTTTTTTTTACTTTCTTCCATTTACCACTAAAAGACATTATTACTACTTTAAACAAGACGTTCTCTCGGACGTTGCCCAAAACCTGTACACTTAAAACAAAATGGAGTCAATAATAATTGAGATATTGTACCTAATTCTGTAGCGTTTTTATAAGGAACAAAAAAGATGGAAAAACAAAAATTTGCTTTATAATTATTGTATAAGAACTACATTATTATTCTATAAAATAACCTTATAGAGCTGCTCCCTTTTAAGTTCGATAGCAGCTTCCATATTTGCTATTTGGTATTCGTAGCATAATCGTCACATACCAAACTCTTATACAATAGTTCTATTAAGACTGTACAGGCGACATTATGGGATAATTGTATAAGAGTTGTACAGGGTGTGGTTTTGTCCTTTTGAGCTCTATTTTGCATCGGCTTTACAATAATTTGATTCTATAAGCACGTTGCTGTAAAATTATGTCACAGAGCATCCTTATAGAGCAAATTTTACACTGGTCTTATAACTGTTCTATAATATATGCCCTAAGAACGTTCTTGCAATGAGTTTAAAGAACAATTCAGTTCTTGAAAACAAAATAGTCTCATATGCTCCATTAATACAGTAATTTAGTGTCCTAGATATATCTATAAAACTTTAATAGGATATAAATGTTCTATTAGCTTAAATTTATAGAACAACTTTGTTAGCTGGGTTATCTCATCCTAAATTATGTTTTATCGACGATATGTAAACTTAATTTAAGTATTTACAAATATAAATAACATAAAAAAGATGTCATAAAATGTTGGTTTTATAAAAATTTTGCAGTCCTAATTTTCTTTTCAGAATGCATATTTAGGAACACAGAATAGGGTTCTACAGATAAATGTATAAATTATTTTGGGGTAGAAAATCTACATACTAACGTCTCTTTGAAGGAATCGTTGGACATCATTGATGGTAGATCGCGAGGTGACAAAACATTTTTGGAAAGAACTTCCCTGCCTCTTAAAGGAGTGATGAATCTCTTGAGGTGCTCAATACGGATCAAGCCGGAAGGCAGAAACACTGAGTGCCTACGGGTAGTCATGTTCCATGGCTAATATTACTGTAGATTTGCCCAATAATTATAATTATATTCTTCTTTTTTATTACAGTCCCCACGATAACTTCTTTTGTTTAAAGCGAATATATACATAGAACTAGCGTGTACCAGCGATCATTCGTCATGGTGATAATAAAGCAAAGCAAGAATTTCCATTAACATACAAACTGGATAAAATTTTCTCACATTATTTATGTCAGCATGAGAAAAAACAATATGGCGATATTATTATATAACTTGGTAATATTTGAGGGGTAGTCTCATCTCGTTGGAATTTGACTTTCCAAAAATCCGTTTGCCAAAAATAAGCTTTTTACATCAAGCAGTTTAAGCAGAATCGTGGTTAAGAAATTACCCAACTTTTTGAAACACCCTGTATTATTTTTTAAAAAATTTCAAAATATGTAAAAAAACCAAATAAATTATGCTTGTCCAAGCGCTTTCCCGAAAGACTAACCGTTTTTTAAATAACAAATATTGTAATATTTGAGGGGCGTTTTCACCCTCTTGGAATTTGAGATTCGAGAAACCCCTCCTTATCGAACCTCTACACCCCACAATCAATCCGTTTGCCAAAAATCAGCTTTAAAAGTTAAGCAGTTTAAGCAGAATCGTGATTACTCAATGGTCATATTTTATGAAACACCCTGTATAAATTTATAGAAAATCTTAAAATATGTAAAACAACAAAATAAAATATACGTGTTTAAGTAAAAACTCACCGGTTTTTAAATAAAAAATATTTTAATATTTGAGGGATAGTTTCACACCCTTAGAATTCGAGTTTCGAAAAATCCCTTCTTATCGAACCTCTACACCTGTCCCCTCTATAACAGGGGTATGATGGGTTATAGATTGTGTGATGACTCAAGGAAGGGGGGCACAATAGATCTTTAAGGTCGCAGTGATTAACTCCCCCTCTTACTCATTCTACATTCTAGATCCAAATACTTACTTTTTTATTTTTATTTTTACAATTTTCACAAATTATACTTCCTAACACTTGAATAATTAAATAACAAAATTTTTTCGTATACTCGCTATTTAAGCTGGTGTATTTGTATATACCAGTTGTTTACGATATTCTCCTATGGTGCAGCACGGAGACTACACCAGTGGCGGCTCGTGACCCGTGTGACTGGGTAGGCGACAACATTTTAGTTGCGTCTATTTGCCCCCCCCCCCCCTTAATTGACATAATACCCTAGCCCAGTTTGTAAATATATGTTATCTCTGGGTTAAAAACATAGCTCAAAAATATTTAGGACAAAACTAAAGCAAAAATAACAGCATTCAACATAGTGACATAATGATTGACATAATGTACAAGTATAGTTTTTATTAATCTATTTTATCTATTACTATGGAGTCACTATGGAGTACATCATAAAATTTTATTTTATTTTTATTTATTTACGCAAACTTAAAAATTGGTGGTATTGAGAGAAAGAATAATTATGTTTTATATATTAAAATGATGAGTCGGTCTCTTAATAAAGGAAAGTTATTTATTATTATATCAGTAAAATCATCAGATTGTTGAAGAGCTGTGAACAGATCTTTTTAGATTGAAAGTAAGGTAAGTGGCGATAAACGTTTATTTTCCATGGAATCTCTACTATAAATTTTAAAGCATTTCATCACAAACATGAAAAATGTCTCTCAACCCAAGTACTTGTAAATGGTCTAGTAACAAACAAAACAAACAATTTGAAAGCCTTTGGAAATATATTTCCAGGATTATTATCCTTAAATTATTTTATAATCGAAATTATTATGTCTATTATTAATACCTACAATTTATTCATTAATTTATGTTGGTCAATAACATTTTTTGTTTGTTAAATCACTATTAAATGCGTTGGAAGTTGGAAATGTATCAACATAACAAGTTTGTTAAATCAGATGTTAAATGCGTTGGAAATTTTTTATAGGATTCTTTAAATTTCGGATCCGCAAGAGATAAATAAAAATAATTGAAACATACGAGTACTTATCTGCAAACCTTATTTCTAAATGTATAACAATGTTATCTAATATTTCATAAAAATAAAATTCGCAAAGATATTTGACTTAGCCGCTTTTATTAACATATCGAATTGAAATAGCACTGAGACTTTTCTGTAATATCTGTTGTATCGTCTTCTTGCACCGAATAAAATTAACGCGCTTTTTTATTTTTTATTTTTTTATTGTTCTGAAATACGAAAAAAAATCCCCTTAACTTCACAGCCTACCGAGCCAACACGACTTCATGCGAAGGCGACTGGAGATTACGCCTAAGCCCCGCCTTAATACGATACAACAACGACTTACGTCGCGTCGCTACCTCACGATGAGTTAGACAGAAACAGAAGACTGTCGTACGTAGTGCATCGACTCTGATAGTAGGCGATGTAGAAATCGCCGAACAAAGGCACTCCAACGATCAAAATTATTTTGTTTTCTAACGGAGCGGCACAGTCAGCGGTCAGCGTACGCTAGCGGTAGTGAATATGTTAATATAGAAGACCACAAATATTAAAATAATATTGATTATTAAAACACATTTCCGTGTATTAACAGTATTTTTATGTATTGGCAACATTAATAGAGTAAATAATGTAATGTAATAAATCGCTTAAATTCTGCCAACATCTCAGGGTAGGCGCCGCCTACCTTGCCTACCCTGACGAGCCGCCACTGGAAAACACCAAGCCTTAAGCCAATTACGAAAAACTAAATAACACAATACAAATTTAAAACATGCTTTTTTAAATTATACAACCTCTTTAAAAGATCTGAAGCAGACCTATCTTAATTTTTTTTGTAAATTTATGTAATAAATATAACAAAAACACCGCTTACTTGTGGGATCTTTAAACTCCAGAGCGTTGCCTATGAGCGGCAGGCCGGGCACTTTGTTCACCCATCTCAATTTCTCGTAGAAGGCCAGTCGCTTTCTCCATTTGTCTATCAACCAAATTGCGGCGAGGGTTACGACCGCGTAAAGAAATAGAGACGACATTTTAACCGCACCAATCGCACCGACTGACGAACATCTAGCCACTCCAAAAAACAGCAGCCTGATGCACTCCCACTTTGTTTATAACTGATATTATTGTCAATGGTACAGAGCGGACTCGTGTAGTAGAAAGTCGTTAAACCTTATCGCTGTATGCGTATATATTTGTTTTTAACTTACATACATTTAAACATATACAGGGTGCTACAAATTCGAGGTACGAGCATTGGTATCTCGGAGACCGTAATAGATATGAAGATGGTTAAATTGGGGCAAAGTGGCCTCCTTGGAATGTTCACCAAGATGCCATCAAAAAAGTTTTAAAAATTTCAAGAATTGCTGAGTTTTTTGCAAAAAAAAAACGGAATTTTTTTGAAAATCAATTTTATTTCTTCCTGTCGTTACTTTTTAGAAAATCAAAAAACTAATTGTACATTCTCATAGCCACTTTATTATGGTTATCTGATGGTATTTTTAGATTTTCAAATTGGCTGATAATTTGTGAGATACAGAGGTTAACTTATTTTTTTAAATACGGACCAGCATTTTTTATTTGAGGTTTTAAAAGAAGTATAATGATATGCCACACTTTATATTTTTTTTTGTTTTGGGTATCTTAACAACAAAATAAACTATTTAATTATTATTTAAAATAATTTCAAGTCCGACTCTGTTTTTTTTAATTATTTAATCTGATTATATTCATCGCAACAATATTGATCAGGGCTGATTAACATTGAATAAGGAAAATCGAACCAATTAGAAGATTCAAATAAATTATATCCAGATCAGCAATTTAAAGATATTATTTTAACTTTTTTTATTGTGAATTTGAAATCTCAGTATGTGATCTAATAATATGCCTAATATTTATCGTAATTAATTATAAATAAATTAACTTTTACAAACTAGTTTCTAATGCTCTACATGTTCGAAAGGGTTTACCACCCTCCCTATTTTTTTATTTATAGCTCTTTGAACTTTCTTCTTATACTTTCGAAAGCATTTTGTACCCTTTATTGCAAATGTTGAGATGTATTGATTTCACTTTTACAAATGACGTGAAGTAATGTATTCATTTGTACATATATTCTTTTTTTATTATTTTATTGCAATTGATTTTCCATATTCAATGTTTTACCCCACGTCATTGTTAAGTTTGAAAGCTTATCAATGTTTTAACGATGAATAGATTAAATATTAAAAAAAACAGAGCCGGACTTGAAATTAGTTTAAATAAATTGTGTTCAAATGTCCGAAATAAAAAAACTATTAAGTGTGGCATATCATTGTACTCAGGAGACCAAGTTCTTTCAAAATCTGAAATAAAAAATGCAGGTCCGTATTTAAACAAATTAAGTTGGCCTCTGTATCTCACAAATTATCAGCTAATTTGAAAATCTAAAAAACTATCAGATATCAGCCCTCATCAGCCCTTATAAAGTGGATATGAGAATGTGCAATTAGTTTTTTGATTTTCTTAAAAGTAACGACAGGAAAAAATAAAATTAATTTTCAAAAAAATCCGTTTTTTCCAAAAAACTCAGCAATCCTTGAAATTTTTAAAACTTTTTTAATGGCATTTTGGTGAACATCTCAAAGCGCAACTTTGGCCCAATTTAACCATGACCGTATCTATTACGGTTACCGAGATATCAATGCTTATACCTCGAATTTGTAGCACCCTGTATAGATATCAGAAAATATTTACGGTTTTAAATATAATTTTATTTATTTATTTATGTGTACTAAAGACTTAGAATTATTAATGTTCGAATTTCAAGATTGTACGCCATTAAATGTAATTTATTTATACTTAGTGTGGAAAAACGTTACTAATAATAACTTTGATTATATTATAAATCACCTAGCCAACTGAAAAAGTAATTTGCGTTAACATCCAAATAATTAGTTTAACTACTTTTCAAAGTCAACTGGGTCTTGTAATGAAACATGGATTGTCATATTATAATACATTTTATTTTATAAAGTTTACAGTTTTTTGAACAATATGATGCTGAAAATGATTGATACATTAATTTAAGTACATCTTCAGTTTGCCGATTCCATTAAGGGGCACCTTTACCCTGCAAGAAAATATATTAATAATAATTATAAAATTAATTATTAGATAGAAATGTTTTGCAACTTTAAGAATATCTGATTTTTTTTCGTAAACCTTTCCTTGGAGTATTAATCCAGTAAAATTGTATCGCCGTATAGAGAGTGAAAAAAAAATACGGGCAAGCTGATTTTTTCAGAGTTTGTCAGCGACTGTCTTCTGAGTGTAAAATTAACAAAATCGGAAATTTTCCCCTTGCGGTTTTTGAGAAATAGGGGTGTTTTTTTTAAAACTGTACTACAACAAAATAATTAGACGCAAATTGTACATAAGAATATTCTCTATAATTTCGCCTAATTAATTTTTTTTATAAGTTTATTATTTCCGGACTTAGCGGCCGTTTCATGAGCCCTTTGGTGTGGTTTTCAAAAAGTTTGTTTTACGGCAAATTAACCCGTATGAAAGTAGTTCATAATAAATGGACAAGCAACTTTTCCTCATGATTTTTTTTTATAGCTTGATTATTTTTGGAGATAGCGTCCAGTTCATGAACAAATTAGGGTAGTATTCAATGTTACTTTTTTTCAGCAAATTCACCCTAGGAAACTCGTTCAAAATAAGAGTACATATACCTTTGCCTTATGAACTTTTTTTGTAACTTGACTATTTTTGGAGATAGCGCCCAGATCATAAACAAGTGGTAGGTCCATCACACAAAAGAAGACGATACAATTAAAAAAAATCATAATATTCATTCGCTTGATGAATTCCATGTTTCGTTTTGGGGAAATAAATACATATCATAGGGAAGTTTGCATGTAATTTTAGTATGAACACCTTTAAGTTGGTAAATTTGTACAACTAAACAAAAATTATAAAACTACCCCAATTTGTTCATGAACTGGACGCTATCTCCAAAAGTAATGAAGCTACAAAATAAAGATCATGAGGAAAAGTTGTTTGTCTATTTATTGTGAACAACTTTCATACAGGTCAATTTGCTACAAACAAACTTTTTGAAAACCACCCCAAAGGGCTCATGAAACGGCTGCTAAGTCCGGAAATAATAAACTTACAAAAAAATTAGGCGAACTTATGGAGAATGTTCTTATGTACAATTTGCGTCTAATTATTTTGTTGTAGTACAGTTTTAAAAAAACCACCCCTATTGCTCAAAAACCGCAAGGAAAAAATTTCCGATTTTGTTTATTTTACACTCAGAAGACAGTCGCTGACAAACTGAAAAAATCAGCTTGCCCGTAATTTTTTTTTCAAGTGACAATTTTATTGGATTATATTTACTGTACCCGGCCATGGTTCCAGGGGTAGTGTATCGCCTGTTGTACGAGAGGTACCGAGTTCGATCCCTAGCCAGTACGGTAGCTTTATTTATATATCTAAATAGAGTGACCTGTGAGCCGCCACCTCTAGGAAGGCAATAGCAAACCTTTAAGTATAATATTTGCCTTGTACAGGGTGGTCGAAGTTGGTCTGTTTTAACAGAGAAAACCTAATTCCTGACTAGATAGAGCAAAACCGACATAGATGTCATGGGCTCGATTGTTGTTTAATGGCGTAAACCGCCTGTTGATATTTTCACTGCCAACTGAGATATTATTGTCTTTTTGAATTTTTTACCATTTTGAAAATTGCCCATGACTTATTGCCCATACTAAAAACGTTATTAAGGCACTTATTTAGGCACGATCCAGTGGCGTAGTCAGTTTTTTTCTATGCTTGCTCTTTTTGTCAGAAATAAGAAAAAATATAAATTTTTAAATGGAAATCATAGTTGGCTATGAACTTAAAAAAATGCTGGCGTTTTGCCCTTTCCAATGATCTAAAGTTATGGACATCTATTTCTAAGAATGAGAGAAATATTAGGTTTTTGATCTTTATATCGAAGCGGGCCTTGATTTTGTGTTGACCTATTTGCCTAATTATTTTTTATCACAATTTAATATTCTACATTATTATTTATCTGCATAATTAAAGACTCTTGAAAAGGTATCTTAACATTCTATATTAGTATTAGTAATTACAATTGAAATCGATACAATAAACAAGGAATAAAACTAAAAAAAAAGTATTTTTTGAATGACGAGTATAGTTTTCTAAAAAAAATAATCAAAGATGTTCAAACTGAGCATCCCCTTATTGAATACATAATAAACATCTTTTGCGCACAGACTTAGAACAATTTATTAGGCGAGCTGGTGTAATAAGTCCAAAAGCTTGCCTAGTAGTCTTCTGTAATTCTTCTCTCGTCCCAATGGTTCTTCCCTTATATATAAGTCTTTTTATTTTGCTTTCTCCCATAAAAAAGTCAAAAGGAGTTACATCACAGGACCTAGCAGGCCAAGATATGGAATCCTTTGTTCCAACCCAGTTCTCTCTAAATTATCCATTTAATAGTGCAGTTGTAACACTGGCTATTTAATTGTAAATGGTAATACTAATATATAATGTCGATTTACCTTTTCAAAAATCTTTAATTATGCAGATAAATAATGATATAGAATATTAAATTGTGATAAAAAATAATTAGGCAACTATAGGTCATCACAAAATCAAGGCCCGCTTCGATACAAAGATTAAAAACGTAATATTTCCCTCATTTTTAGAAATAAATACACATAATTTTATATCGTTGGAAAGGGTTAAACGCCAGCATTTTTTTATGTTCATAGCCAACTGTGGTTTCCATTTAAAAAAATATATTTTTTATTATTTCTGACTAAAAAAGCAAGTGTAGAAAAAAACTGACTGAACCACTGGATTGTGCTTAAAAAGTGCATTAAGAACGTTTTTACAGAATTTTAATTTTATTATTCCGGGAAATACAAAAGTTATGGGTAGTTTTCTAAATGGTAAAAAATTCAAAAAGACTCTGTATCTCGGTTGGCAGTGAAAATATGAACAGGCGGTTTAGGACATTAAACGTTTCTCAGAAATCGAGCCCATGACATCTATGTCGGTTTTGCTCTATCTATTCAGGAAATAGGTTTTCTCTGTTAAAACAGACCAATTTCGACCACCTTGTACAGCGACTTATCTAGTTCCTTACAGATTCGGTGATAAACTGTAAGTCCCGTGTCTTGTGAAATACTGATAACCATAGACTTAAAATAAAATAAAAATAAAATATAGACTACACTATTTACATCTCAACGCAGTCAAACAATCTTTTTTGTACACATGTTTACTTCTGGGTACAGTCGACCGAGCCTTCCTCATCCAGCCTATGTTGTCACGTCTTTAATATTATCAATATTTTTTTTCTTATTATACACATATACTGAGATATTAATACTACATTTTTATAAAGTAGGTTTTAATATTCCATAGATGTATTAAATAGTCCTTATACTACTAAATTATAAGTCGGACACTATTTGAAAAGGATAAGTTCTTTACAATAAGGCAACACCGATTAGAGGTGAGGTCGCCTGTTCATTCATTTATTACCTTGTAGTACGTGTCGCACGTGTGCGGTAAAGCTTTGTTGCCGCTATCTCCCCGGTTGTATTAACGCATTTTCTTAGCTTGTAGTCCTTAAGTGTTTATTCTATTTACTTTTTCTGTTCAAGAACTCTAAAATATGGTTCGCCAGTGCCAAATTTGCAAGAAATTTGACTTAAATAATCCATTTAAGTCTTGAAACGACTTTCGACCGGTAGGCCGTACTCTCAATTTACCCATTGGGAGTCAGTGGCGTTGTTGTAGAAAGGCGCTTATTTAGATAATATTTTAGTAAAATGTAAAATCTGATTTTTTCTCTTACATAATCATTTATATAAAGGTTTTTGTAACAAAATCATAATTATAACCTTGTTAATAATTAATAATGTTTTTATTAAAAATATATTCCGGTTTATTCTAAAATTATCTTCAGAATCTAAAATAACATACAAGAATTTTAAAATGATATTACATTATGAAACAATATTTTTTAATATACCGGGTCGTCTCAAAAGTGGCTCACCCCTATAACTTTTTTATTTTTTCAGATAAAAAAACAGATTTGTATGTTAGTAGGTTATGCTGATAACATAGGGAGTCTACGCTCTGTATTAATTATGGCTGTTGATTGAAGAAATTCAATTCTTTTAATCAACGGTATGGCACTGTAAGAAGAAATATTTGCTACATTTTTTTTCTCTTGTAAAATAATCCCACCTCGCATAGTTTTTGAGAAAAAATGTTTTTCCTAAGCTAACCTAGTATTTTGTTGTCACATCAGGCTATTTAAGAGCATAAACTCTAGTATGCGTTAATAATCTAGTTGGCAAAAACGTCGAATGTTAGTGTCGTAAAGGATTCATAAATTTCAAGTTAATTAACGTTCGGGTTTATTTTGACTTAGATTGATAGATTTATGAAGTGCCGTGACGTCCTTGTTGCTCCAAGTGATGTTAGTGTCGTCCGCAAAAAGACATATTTTACCACCAATGTTTATGTTAGCAATGTCGTTAATAAAAGGAAGAAACAAAATAGGGCCTAGTACTGAGCCTTGAGGTACTCCACATTCTATTGGCTTGATAGAAGACAACGTGGTATCCACCCTCACAAGTTGACTTCTGTTGTTTAGATACGACTTAAACCATTCGAGAGACGTTCTCCTGAATCCATAGTGCTGCAGTTTATTAATTAGGATCTTATGATTTACACAGTCGAACGCCTTATAAAAATCACAGAAAATTGTTGCTGCAAAATGATGGTTATTTGTGGACTTTGATGTTCAGTATTTTGTAGTTAAACAGAAAAGATAACAGCCTTTTTTTAACCAACCTTTCTATGATCTTAGATAGCGTTGGAAGAAGTGAATTGGGCGATATTTAGAAGCTTACTCTTTGTCTCCTCCTTTATGCCGAGGAATGATTATTGCCGTCTTAAGACATTTTGGAAAAATACCATTTTGGAATAACATGTTTATTAAAATAGTTAGGTGATTCAGGAAAAAAATCGAAAATGTTTTCTCAAAAACCATGGAAGAAGAATTGGTAGTCGTTGAAGTTGCAAAATAAGTAGTCATTTTCTAAAAGTAAAATGTTGAAGAGATAGTTCATTTCAACAAAATCTGGCGAAATGTTTCCGATAAAAGTATTCTAAAAAATATTGTATTTTTATTTTTATTTAAAACTGCTATTGCTATTACCAATGGTTAACTTTTGATCAAAAAACGAAAAAAGCAAAAATTGTGTGTCTGGGTAGTTCACCGGAATAGTTTTTTACCCCGTAATAATCTCTCTCGGATAATATCTTCTCAGCTCGGGCTCCCACTCCTCTCACTGGAGGTTCCATCCCGTGAATTAGGCGGTACACTTCCGATTTCTGCAAGTAGTCCAGGTTCTTTGGCGGCGGCTGGTACTTTAGAAAGTTGATGCTGCAAAAGAAAAGAAAATATATCTTTGCTTGAAATATATCAAAGGATATTTTTTATTGGGAACAGATAAAAGTCGGTATTAAGTACACGTTACCTTGCTGAAATACGGAATGGTATTGGTATAAACCAGTGACAAAATTGAATAACAGTTCCTAAATTGTGTTGCTGAGCACACAAAAATTAAAAATACGAGGTACTGATCATTGATCCAATTCATAAAAATATTGTTCCACAAATTTTAATAAAAAGAACTGACGCGTTTTTTTTTGCTATCAGGTTCTTCCATTAAAATTTGTGGAAATTTAAACGGTTGTTTTATTGGAATACCCAGTTGAAAATGGATTTCCATCAAGTAAAGGTCACTACCTAATATGGTAAGCTAGTCTTGCAATTTTATGTTTTGAAAGATGATATTTATGTTGCAGTTTTATTTATTTCATTACATCAGTAGCAAAGGCATTTTATTTACTGCAACTTTTTCATAGCAACATATTCTTAGTGCTGCAGAATTTTTACGGGCAAATTTCCCAGTTGCTCATTTCCTGAGCACCAAATTAAGTTTAAGTATTTGATAAATTTTACAAAATCAAAATTCTTGGGTTTTGCAGCAAACCTGCTTTTGCATTATTAATTAAGAGGTCATGATTTTCTTTAATTTTATAACAGTATTAAATAATTTCTTGTTAAGGTGCGTACACATACAGCAAACGATGACGAACAATGTCGGGCGAATGGTAATGTTAAGAATTATCTAGCGATCATCGTTTGATATACCACCTGCGGTGCTATTCTTTACATCGCTTGCAAGTTTACTTATACACAAGGGCGTAGATAAGGGGGGGGGGGGGGGGTACTGGGGGACAGTACCCCCCCCCCTGACGCTTGACGAGATACGAGAATTGAAATAGTCATTGACTATGAAAGGATTTTTTTAAATTAATATCCGACATATAAGAACACTTTGTATGCTTTTAATTATGTTGATTTATCGTTTATAATATCTTCGACCTAATTAAAAGCACACAAAGTGTTCTTATTGGCCAGGACAGATTAGTGGGCTTAACTCTAATCAATATCCATAAAGATATTGAAAAAAATGTTGATGCTGTTATTGATAGGTTTTCCAAACAGCGTAATAGAAAACTTGATTTTGTTTTGTAGTTTTATTTATAGTTTATAGTTTTTATAGTTTTTTTTGATAGTTTAGAGATTTTTATTTATAGTTTATAGAAAATTAACTAATAAACGTCGTTGTTTCATTTTTGTTTATGTTATTTACAAATCTATATTTTAATTTTTGTGTTATGTTTTTATATCTTTTTGAAGACAAAAAAATCGCCGTCGTTTTAATTCGACAAAAAAATTCCGACGGTGATTTTTTTTGCGACTTAATCATAGTACCACCCCCATAGCATACACCTATCTACGCCCCTGCTTATACACATTATATGTATTGTTATATTGCTTTCTCGGAGAAATGAGTGATATTTTAAGATGCGAGTGGTCAAGAATAGCTCCTCTGGTAAACGAACCCTTAGTGAAAGGGAATGGGAACACATCATCCGAACAAATTCGTTCGTAACCGGTTTGTTGAGTGTCTAAATTTGAAATTAACATAAACAAATTTATTCTAATAAAAGTGTTATCTTTTAGTTACTACTTACCATGACATAAGCTGCTTTACTTGGCACCATAAAGCAATTGGATTCCCTGGAACTGCACACAATAAAAATCATGCTGTCGCACAAAAACTCGTAATAAAAATTGGATATTGGCAATGTAAATAAAATTATTATAATTGTATACTATATTTAATTTTCAGTAGAAAATACTTAGATTTAGTGTTGTTTATTACATCATAAATCTTTATTGGATCTATTGAAACATTAACGAAATATACATAAATTTCAATATAATTAATATTACTACTTTAATTTACTAATTAATTTTGCAAAATAGCATAAAACTTAGTAGTATTATTAAAGTAATAACTAAATGTATTTCCAGACATATTATATTACCAAGTTATATTATCAAAGTAAAACAGTAAATCACCACAACGCACCAAAATTTGCAAAATTGCAAAATGGATCTGTTGATGATACTAACATGGTTAGAGAAACGCGCGTCCAGTGTTTTTGTGTATTGTGGTGATTTAGTGCTTTATTTTGCTGTTGTATCACTAAAGGTTCGAACCCCCGAGTGTAATAAGTCATATTATGCCAAGCAATTTTTAATTTCTAATAATGTTCAAATTAATTCAAATAATCAGTATTGATTAGCACACATTGTTCCGTGAAAACATAATTACTCATTGAACATCACTTAATTGAACACAATTTATCCAAAAATACTTTTTTTGTGCGTTACACAGCAACAAATTTTAAGAACAGATATTGAATGACATTTGGGGTATCAAAAATATATTTTGATTGATTTTTTGAAGAGTGAAAACAACCGTCGCCCCTACCTAAAATATAGCAGAACTGTTTTATAATTTCAACGATAGCTGATTTTGATTTTTGTCAAAATGTAAAGTTCTATAGTAATTACTACATCTTTTATCCTATTTTTTTTTTATTTTTTCTTATAAAAAATTGCCGCCTGGCATATTTTTGAGAAAAAAAAATGTTTTTTCTACAAACGTCAGTAAAAATGTAATTTTTAACACATGTGACATTATGTCACTGATGGTAAATGGTAAAAGTCATTTTAGGTCTTGTGATTTACTTTTAACACTGAAGCGATAACAATTACCCTATCAACCATAAACTTCATAATTAATTTGATTTCAGAATGACATATTATGAATTGCGAGCTTTTTCCCGCGACTACGTTCGCGTTACACCTCGAATCGTCCATGCATGCATTGATTTAAATTTTTTTCGCCAAAATTCACGGCAGACGTGGCAGACTCAAAGCAGTAGTGGGTCAACTAACAGGGCATTGTAAGCTGAATATACATCTAAAGATAATGGTTATAACAAAAATTTACCGAACTTACTTAAAATTAGTTAATTATGTACTGCAAAAGAATAGAAGCTCAAAAATAATAAGTATTAGAACTACCTGTCATGCATTCAATTGTTTTCCATAATTCAAAATTATTTATCATGGTATCATGAAAATTGCTTTCTTTCCAAATAATAGATTACATTTTTCAAAAATAATCATAATTTTGTCAAAAAAGTTGAAAAATTTAGGAATTTACCCAGTGGTTAATTTAGCCGTGAATAACTTTTGAAGGAGTAGGTTTATCGAAAAATTGTACGAGATCTTTTTTGTAGAGCGTTCAATTCTGTATAAGAATATGTAATTGTCATGGCTGCGAGAGAACAAGATCAAGAGGAAAAAGATTATTTGCTAAAAGTGGCAAATTCCTATATAATTTAAATGGGAAATAACTCGTCTTTGGGGCAAGGTTTATTGTGAATGCCTCGAAGAATCAAATCTAAATTAATTTAGTTTCCTGTTTGGATTCTACCCAATCTTCTGATGTATAAAAAAAAACTTTTTTATATTTCTCTTTCACTGACTCCATCAGACTATTTTTCATGACTCATCCAGACTATTTTCCAGAAATGAACCCCCCAGAAAAGTATAGACATTACTAACATATTTACACTGCCTCAATCCAGTAACAAAATAATCTACCCTACCTGTAAACTGGCTTGCCCTTATCGCCCCACGGCCACACCCGATTCCAATGATCGACCTGAAAAAACGAATCCATTTAAAGCACCGATCGTGAAACGTTTGCCTACCCTTTCGTTTTGCCCATGATCACTTCCGAATAGTCCTCGATGGTCTTGCAGATCTTCTCATCGGACATTTTGGGCGTCTTGAATTTCGGAGTTGCATCTTCCGGATCCGACCATTTCCTGCCGCCTGGAAGAATGATGGGTCTCTGAGTCCAGTCCATCTGACTTCTTCGTTCTTCTTCTTCCTATGTGGTTTGGATAGGGCAAAGGAAAATAATGAACTGAGTGTTAGTGCCGAATGATATTTTTGGGGCCGAGACCAAAACAAAAATCGAAGCCAATAAGCTACGTCATTTTTAATTGTTCGTGTTTTTGGAGGGTTATCAAAAATAAATTAGACGTGATGTTATTGAGATGTATACTTAATGGCATTTGTGTAGATACGTCTAATTAATAGAGTTATTGATTAAGTTTTATAAATAAACATGCTCTGTTCGGTATTTGTGATCAAATAAATAAAGTAATTAATTTAAAAATGTGTTGTGGAAATTATTTGTGTTTACATGTTCTGTAATATACAGGGTGGCGCACCTCATTCGCCTCGATGAATTATACGAAAACGGAACGATGTAGAAACGAAATATTTTATGGGTATATGTGGGAAGGCAATTTGCATAATTTAAAATCATTTTGAAATGTACAGGGTGTGTCAGAACTAAGATCCATACAAAAGTTAAAGTTTAATTAAGTTAGTTTTTCTTATGAAACACACACCCGCTATTTTATTTCATTTTTGGATTCCTGGACATAAAATAAGGCATTTATTATAAGGGTGTAATATGTTTATAAGCTTTGGTTTTTGAGATATTTAAATATGCATGCTATAATAAAAAAGTTTGGCAACACCTTGTACATTACTTTTCAGAATTAATTCTTGTGCTGACTTTCAAGCCAGAGAAATAAACTTTACTAAAAAAATTTGATTGCTTCCTTAAATGTATACAGGGGTATCAAAAATTGCTGGTCTATTTTAAATATCTATTTTACATAAAAACTTCGTTATTTCAAATACAACGCTATGTATTTTTTTAAATAAGTCGAAGCAGATTTAAATGCTCTTTCAAATTATATTAGGATTTTCTGTACCTATCTGGCTCAGATTTTGAATAAAAAGCGATTTTTCAATAAAATTGTAATCAAGATGGCTGATGTCGCCATGGCAATTTTCTAGTGACACTCAGTAGCTATTTTCAAAATTGACATTAGTTTATGGACTTTATGTAAATTTATAGGTTATTTCTAATTAATTTACCTACAATAAGGTTAATAAGTAAGTATTTATTATTTTATCAAGAAAAATGAAGCCGCCATGATGATATATGTTACTAGTGATTTTATTTTGTGAGGACAATTGCTTGGGTTGGCCTGAAGGGTTTATGCTCAAAGATATCCAAATAGAAATTTTCTTGACAAGAGTTTTTTTGAAATACTACTTTTTCTATTTCGCAGAGCTGATAGTATGTGAAAAATCTATTAGGCAGAAACCTATAGTTGGAAGTGAAGAAAATAAATTTTCCTTAATTGGTTCTTTTATAGAAAATCCAATATATCTACGCAAGTTATCGTAATATAAATCAAAGAATTACTTCTTTATTTTTCTTCATAAAATAATAAATACTTATTAAACTATTTTAGGTAAATTAAAAAAAGTTAACTGTTATAAATTTAAATAAAGTCCATCAAGTAATGTCGATTTTGAAAATAGCTGCTGACTGTCACTAGCAAATTGCCATGACGATCAGATATTTAAAGATATTTAAATATCTTTAAATATCTGACAAACCAAAGCATTTAAACATATTAAACCCTTAAAATAAATATCTTATTTTATGTCTAAGAATCCAAAAATTAAATAAAATACAGGGTGTTCCGTAAATAAATATAACTTTGGTATGGATCTTAGTTCTGACACACCCTGTACATTTGAAAATTTTAAATTATGCACATTGTCTTCCCACAAGTACCCATAAAAAATTTGGTTTCTTCATCTTTCCGTTTCCGTATAATCAACCGAGGCGAATGAGGTGCGCCACCCTGTATACGATTTTAATTTTAGAAAATTATTTATAAATATTTAGCGATAATTACTAAACGATACTATTTTCACAATTATTGGCTTTGCGTGTTTACAATTGAAACTTGAACTACCCGTATAACCAGGCGATATAGTAAACCCAAGCCTATATAGATTAGTTTCTTTGCTATAAAGATGTCTCGATAAAGACTTCATATGTAAAGCATATTTAAAGAATACTCAAATATTTCCTTTACAGACATGTTCTGTATTTAATCTTTATAGCGACCATAAAGCACTGCCTGTATATTTCTCCTATAGAGAATAGATGATTGATATTTATAACGCACATAAAGAATCCTATATAGTATCGATAACGCATAAATACAGATTCTATACAGTTTTTCGATGACAATATTCACTGTTACGAAAACTTTACTTATCCTTTATTAACTCTATACAAATTTGTATAGTTATACATAGTAAATATACGCTGGTCCTTTACAACTTCATGTATTTTATATATCTATAATGATATTCCGCTGGTGCATCATTTCTGGGGTTAGAATCATTTTAATAGGCCAGATACAAAATGTGCTTCTCCGCGTTTCTTCAACATTCTACTTTAACATAACGGAAGAAAAATGTAAAATTTTAAATCTGTGTATTTTCCACAAGTTGAGTTATTGAAGGGCAGGTCATACCTAATATATCTAAACAATAGAAGAAACTTCCGCGGGGTAATTATAATAACGGTACTGATACTGCTGGTCACATGGTCACATTGGGGGGTAACAAGTAACAAGATGAAATTTTCCCATGAACACCCTTGATGAAGTTACAAAACTTGATGAAAGTTTTAAAACTGATAAAAACAGTAGTGTACACGAATTTGTAAGTAAAAATATAATAAAAGAGTAATCAAATTTTCAGTAATTTAACTTAAATCGTCCTAATATAAATCGCATCTAACCTATAGGTTTGATAGGCGTCCTTTACAAAATATATATTAAAATATATCTAGAAAATTTTTCCCAGTGTTACCTGAATTAGAAAAGTTATGTTTAAGTAAATACTTAAACATATCGTTTGTAGTATTTTATGCCTTTAGAATATTTATATTAATATTTGGAATATTAATACTACAAATAAGGATATGTTTAAGAATTTACTTAAACATAACTTTTCTAATTCAGGTAACAAGAAAAATTTTCTATAGATTTTAATACATATATTTTGTAAAGGACGCCGTCAGTATGTATATCGGTACGATAACGAATCGACAAATTAACTATATTCAATCTAAATCCAGAATGTATAGTGGCGATAAAGTATCAATACAGGCCAACTTTATTCAGTACAGGCTAGACTGTATTCAAATACGTATCGTCGCTGTACCAAAAGAATAAAGGCTGCCTTTACCGACTAAAGATTTTAATATAGGCTCGATAGAGGTTCTATACTGTTTGGTTATACGGGTATATATATAATTTTGTAGTCAAATTCTTTGCTTTCTCTTTTGGCTATTACCCTACGACAACTAGGAGTCATTTTGACATCGCAATCAAATTTATCGTATCCAAAAACACCTGGACGCCAATTTTTATTCAAATATCGACTATGGTTCGGAAATTATTTGGAAAAAAACCGAAATAAAAACGAAACTTCTCCACCCTGTATCTCCCAACCGAAGCATTTTAGGATATGCATTTATACGAACTTTTTTACTTATTTTTATTCGCTGAATATGCTCCCAAAGTTTCCCGAATACAATTCGGGCCACCCTGTATAACAAAATAACGTTATAAACCAAATAATTAATTATTGTTTATATACAGGGAGTCCCAATATTCCGTGGACATACTACATGTTTAAATGAAAATGAAGTAATGTTAAATAAAAAAATAGATGATATAAATTTAATATCATTATCTTATAAATTACCTTTTGCTTTTTAGCCATCAGCTCTTCTTCCCTTATTTTTGTCTCTCTTTCTTCCTCCGTCAAACCTTCATAAGGATCGACAATTTTGTTTGTTTCCTCTTCTACATCACGTTCATCGTCATATTTTTCAACAACTCCATTATCTTCTTCGAGATCTTCAATATTGTGGTTTTCATCTGCTTCGGCTTCTGTAATGTCTTCCTCGGCATTTTCAGAAGTTGAAACATTCTCTGGCGACTCTAAAAAAATTAAAATTTAATTCAGTGTTCTACAATAAACTGTAAGTAGAGGGAGATGGCCGATTCTGCATCCTCCTCCTTCTCCTCCCGTTGGCAGAGAGTGGCGTAAATCAGGTAGAAATGGTTAAAATACGCTAATAAACAAGAATAAACAGGTTTAAAAAGAAATAACCGCTTTAAAGTAGAAATAAACAGGATTGAACAAAAAATTAATAGGTCTGTTATTTTAAGCTAAAAAGCGCCCAAGCAACACCGTTCAAGAGTATATACGTTTAATAAACGTACTATCCGTATAAATATCGTATATTTTTTTAAAGGTATAAATAATATACGTATTTTTATATTACTTTTTTATATGCAAAAGATATGCAACGTATAATATACGCATATTAAAGGGCTTTATTTTCCCTTAATCTTAGTAGATACGTTTATTATACTGAACATTATTATACTGCTTTTTAACGTATATTCGAAACATATATTTTAAGTATATAATATTTCGATTTTGGCGCCAAGTCAGTTATATTCGTAATGTTTGAAAAGTTCAGACACAAAGGGCATAGTAAGTCATTATCAAACTATTTTTTGTGATTTTTTGATAAATTTGAACCCCGATATAAAAATATTGAAAAGAACTGAATTTCACAAACGTATGTAACCAGTATCAGTAAATTGTATAGAAATGGTATATAGGCTACATATACGAAACGTTTATTCGACACTATAAAATCTAGTCACGTGATTAGATCTACCAATCATATCGTTAGACTTTTTACAGCAGATGGAATCTAAATGGAATACGGTATACGTATATGAAACCTATACTCGACACTACAAAATCTAAGTAAGTGGTGTACAAATCTAAGTACGAGGGTAAGTTTTAAATTTATCAATTATAACCTTTTATTTAACTTCACATATATGTATTTGTGTAAACATTTATATGCATGAATATGTTCATGTTCAATGACAAGTTTTTGCAGTGCTGAGCATAGGTTTTGTAAACGTATACTGTATACCGTTTACATACCCCTGTTGCAAATTAAAAAAGCAATTCGCGCAAACGCTTTGTTAAAAAACAAACCATTCTTAAACCTATTTTTTTATTACTTTTAGTACATGGATTAAATAAAAACTTGTTGTTAGAAAGTTATTTATTACACCCTATCAGTAATTGTATAATATATTGTTTGCTCTTTCTCCATTTTATAGAAGCTGTCAACAACTGGATTGATTTAAACGATTTTGTAAAATAATATTCTAGTCGTATAACAAAGAAAAAATGTGAACGTATGTATATATTATTTGTCAGTTTTCTTATTTTAAGAATTATGATATATGTTTTGTTTATTTTTATTTCAGTAATGTACGGTATATGTCTCCAATTTTTAAGATGTTATTAAAGAAAATTTCCAATTAAGTTTTTTATACTTATTCATTAAAAATCCTACCATTAACCATAAAAAATGTATTAGGAAATTAAATTTAGTAATTTAACCACCTTGCATTATTGTTTTTATTAATAGGAAGAATTTTTGATTTGGTTTGACTTTTTAATTTTAGGTTACTTAAAGATTGCAATATTATGTTATATACTAGGTATTATGTCACCATTATGTAGCATTTCTTAAGTAACCTAAGGTTTGTTTATACTGGTTCAAAAATCCTTCATATTAATGAAAAACTATAATGCTAGGTGGTTATATTACTATATTTCATTTCCTGGATACATATAAATTTGTATGTAAAAATAACATTTAATAAACGGTTCTGTTTCACGTATAAATTTATAAAGAAAAATAACATTTAATACAGGTATTTGGTCTACGTGTAATCCTAGTATATCATAAATTGCTAATATCCGTTTACCATCTTGTATAATATTGGTATATGTATATACGATTATAAAAGGAATATAGAAACCTTAAATATATAGGTACGTTGAAGTCGCGGACATTTTGCAGTTTATTATACGTTTCACATTCTTTGTCGTATACCTAGATAAGACGGACGGTATTAGATCAGTTTAAACGTATAATATACCTTTGTGTGTTGCTTGGGCGGTTCAAAGCAGTTCAAAAGCGGTTCAAAGCGGTTCAAGCCTGTTTGTTCTTCAAGATGCAGAATCGGCCATCTCCCTCTACTACTGAATCTTCCCCTATATTATGGAATGTTAAAGCTTTAAACTAATTTCTTTTTTATTGTATGTAATGAAGGCTTAATCTATGCAATACAATGATTTATTTGCGTATTTATACAGGGTGTTTCTCATAAGTCACTCACCCCTATAACTTTTTATTTTTTCAAATAAAAAAACGATATTTCGTATGTTAGTATACAGGATGAGTCTTAAATAAGTGCAAATATTTTCAGGACTGGTAGATCTCGGTAAAAGAAACATATTTTCGCTTTGCGAGTTATTTAAGTTTGGAAATTAAAAAAAAAATTTTTTTTTGAAAAAAAATTGAGAGCCACCGGATTTTTTCTGTATTTGCTTCTTTTTTAGTGCCGTAACTACAGAGTTAAGCCGTAACTATGGTAATCTCAGAGATTAAGAAATTATACCGTGGGAAAATTTGCGGTGAACAAGCAGTTCTAAAAAGTTTTCGGAAAATATACAGAGAAATTTAAAACAAAATGCACGATTTTCAACATCTTTGTTTGCGAAAAAAAAGCTCATACATAGACGTGTTCCTGGGGTCGTAATATACCACCCCTGAAAATATTTGCACTTATTTAAGACACACCCTGTATAACATAAATTTAGACGAATTGACGTAATCAGTTGTTCTCGGTCACTTCCTGTTTCAGAGGAAATGACTACATTTTCGATTTTTAAATGACACCCTCCTATTTTTTACTTTATTCGATAGAAATGACACTCTGAATAGAATGACATATCACATATCAACTTTTGACATTTTCGCTTAAAAAATCGTATTTTAAATCTCAATCAAATATTTCGCAGATTACGGTTACGGGGCGATCCAACGGCAAAAGTTTAACTATAAATTAATGAAAATTTAGTAACAAATAATAGTGAAAATATCATGTGACTGACTTAGAAACTAAAAATTCACTAATTACTGATAGATTAATAATATTAGTAGTATTCTTCCATGACTGTTAAAACACTAATTTATAACCAAAGAGCCTTGGAAAAATAGATCTGATCGTATAATGTTTTTCGTGTCTTGTCTTGGTGGGTTAAAAAATACCCAAATCGTATTTTTAATCATATCTCAATTATTATTTTAAATGGAACGAGGGTGACTCATTAGCATATTTCCAAAGTGTTTCTTTACTCGGGAAAAAAAATAATAATCCGTCAATAAAATTATAACCCCAAATCAAATGACACTGACAATTACTAAAAATAATATGCATCAGTAATTTACGATATGTGGTAATGACGTCACCAATCTCTCATCTGGTTGGCAAGTAATTTTCTAACCTTCAATTTTTTCCAGCATATCTTGAATTTCTTCTTCAACATCGTTTTCAGAGACATTATCTTCGTAATTATCTTCTTCAATGTGATTAACTTCAATTCTGTGAGTTTTTTCAGAAACGATTTTGTTTAATTGCTGAGTTACGGCCTCCAGTGTCACTTGGATCGCGGAAGGTAAGTTGGAGAGAGCTAAGAGTTGCTTTTGAACAGCAGCCAGTTGGTCTTCTAATGATAGGGATGATTCGCAGATGACAGGGTCGATATGAATATCCAACGGAGAAGGTTTAACTAAAAATTAATCAAAATTTAGGAACAAATAATAATGTAAATAACATGTTAGTGGCTATAGAAACATAAAATTCACTAATGCTGCACTTTGAACTGCTTCGTTTAAAGCCGTACACTGACTTTTTGAGGTTGAAGAGTCAGTCGAAAAATGGAATCAAGCCGAGAAAATTTTCACAGAATAATTTTTTTACAATTTTCGAAGAGAGCTATCTTAACAAAAATGCCTTGTGTAGTTGTAGCTTCTGTTTTCGACAATTACGCACCACATCAGTCGACAATTTTTCGTTGGCATGGATACATCATAAGACACGTCCACCAATATCGACAGTCACCCAGGAAAACGTCCATACCCTACGTCAGCTGACCCAAGAAGATCACATAATGGTGAGATTGAAGCATCATTGGGCATTTCAAAAGCAAAACATTTTACATGAAGAATTAACTGTAAAAAATAGTTTCTCGTTGGATACCGTATCTGAACAGAAAGCAATTAGAGTCATTAAGAAATCAGTTAGAGTCAGGATTGATGTCAAAAAACTCTACACCGGTTTAACGCAGGAACCTCAAAAAAGATCTACAGTATTGTCAGTGTTTGTGAATCCTGGATCCGTAAATCGGCTGTTTGGATGTTCTGAGATCAACCTAAACCGAACAAAAGAAAGATTTACGTTCTTGAAGTGTTTCCAAAAAGATGGTGGCGACAACTGTCTCAAAAGCGAGTCATAAAGCAACAATTCCTATGCAAAATCGAAGAACTACTGATTGGTACAGATCTATTTTTTATCAGAAGTAATTGCTGAGGTTCAACAAAACCAACTCTCAACGACGAACGATCCTCCTTCATGACAATGCAAGTTCCCGCACAACTCCAAAAACAATTGAGTTTTTAAAACAAGAAAACTTCGACTTGTTGAACTAACCTAACCATCCTCCATACAGTCCCGACTTAGCGACTTTTTTACTTTTCCAAAAATTAAGTATGAACTACATGGTCAAAGGTTCCAGTCCCCAGAAGATGCAGTCAATGTCTTCAAAAATGCAATTTTGAAGGTACTAACAAGCAAGTGGAATATCTGCTTTCAGAATAATTGGTTCCAACGGATGCAAAAAATAATTTCTCTTTGTGGAAAATACTTTGAAAAACAATAAGGTTTGAAAGTTATCTACTGTTTTTTTCTACCTCTGTATGCAAAATATAAAAGACAACCCGTATTATTGTTATGTTAGTGATGACGGTCTCAAATTGATTTCAGCAATGAAGCTATCAGGAGGATGATACTATTTGATAAATACTATTTCTAATATGTTTTTTATCTTACGTATTGGTTTAGGTTTCTTAATGGTCACTTCTTTATTGTTCTTTATTACATCACATTCTAAGGAATCGTTCTCGATGATGTCAGAGTTTCTCTCACTTTCATCGTCCAGCTCGCAAATCTCAACAGTAGTTTCCTCTTCAACGGAAACTTTTAAGTCAACTTCCATTTCTTTTTCTCCTACTTCCCCGTCTGTATCTAATTCTACAGTAGACCGTAGTTGATCAGTGACAGATTCTTCTTGTTGCAATTCTACTTCAGGCTGTAAGATATAAGATATATTAAGCGTATTTATTATGATTCAAAACACTAATTCTCTGTATTGCTTTGAAAAAGAAGTCGAAATTCTTTAATAAATAGGTGTCAATAGATTTGTAATATATCTATATCTAATTAAAAGACTACTTTTATTTATTTTATAGCAGAAAAATATATATATTTGGGACAACTAATATACAGCTCGGGATCTCTACTACCAGAAATCAACAGAATAATTAAGGTAGTATGGAGTACTTATGGAAGAAACTCTTTCATATTCAAATCTAGAATACCATTTTATCTAAGGAAGATAACATTAGACTAATGTGTACCTACTATCAGTAATGACCTCTGCATGCGAAACCTGGACTCCTAAAACGGACATTATAAGGAAACTTCAGGTCGCACAAACGCTCAATGGAATTAAATATGCTGGGAATAACCAAGAGAGACGGTAAAAGCATAAAGTGGATAAGACAAAAGACCCAGGTAATAGATGGTCATCCACAGAGTTAAATCCCTCAAGTGGCAATGGCAGGACACTTGGCAAGAAGGACGGACAACAGATGGACCACAAAAATTACAGCATGGTACCCACGAGGAATTAAGAGACCTAGAAGAAGACTAAACCTGAGATGGGACCATGATATTAGGATAATATTAGCAAGGATAACTTGCGCCCGCATAGCCAACAATAAACAACAATGGGCCCAACTAAAAAGACACAAGGTATCTAAATATGTGAGGGAGGCTACACCATAATTGAAAATGGTTGATTGAGCTGAAAATTATGATGATGATTATGAATTAAAAAATATGAAAAGAATTTACAAAATCTGTAAATTTAAAAAACCCGTTTGTTATATATTGTATTCAGTAAAGTCATGATATTTAAAATAAAAATTCTTTATATTGCAAGTAAATAACATAATTGATGATCTAATCTAAATACATATGATGTATTCGAAATTTCGAAGAACATATGTATTTAGGGGTAAAAATTAGGTAAAAAAGGAAATAGATGAAGGATTGGTAAAGGCAGAGAGGTAATTGATAATGATAATATAATCGAATTATTTTTAACTTACCACATTTGGCTCGAAACGGACAGACTTTTTGTGATTAAGCACATCATTTGGATCACGTCTTGCTTGTTTGATTATTTTTACCCTGTACGGCTCACCCTATAAATAAAAGTGTTTACTATAAGACAGATTTATATTAGAATTATTTAACAAGTATAGTATTACATTTTATCTAATTCTTCAACTGTATTTTTGCAGTTCTAGTTCAACTGTATTTTGGCAGTTATTCGTTAGGCATGATTATTTGTATGATATACAGGATGTTCCAAAAAACATGTGCCATCTCTCCTGGAGAGATTCGTCACGTAAAAATAAGATTTATTTTTCATATCAACATAGGTCCGATTCCGCTTTCTTTTGTAGCTATAGGGTATTAAAGTTTCAAAAATCTTTCGATTTATTATAATTTTTTTCCAAGTACTTCTAGTGATTCAAATGAAAATTTGAGGGTAGAAGTTACTATAAGTGGCACATTTTTTAATGCTAGAAAAGTCGTGTCGATAAATTCATCAGGGACGTGCATATGGGTTATCACTGGAATATTTTTCAAAAAAAAACATGTGCGCCACTAACTTTTTTCTTTTGCTATCAAAATTGTGTAGGCCGTATAATACCAATTAAAAGTTATAATAAAAAAAATAATGGTATTTAAGATAATTACAAAAAAAAAGATTTAACATCCTGTAACTCTAAAACTATGCATATCCATACCCATGTTTATAGGAACTTTTTTGATGAGGAATCAATGAGTACTTATTTAAAATTTTTGCAAGTTAATATATTAATTTTTTTTTAAAGATTGCTATTAGACTTGGATCAAGGCAAACTAATAAAATTGTGTTTATCTCATCAAGGAGGCTGAAATTGACAAAATATCAACTTTTAATCGGCATTAAACTGCTTACACTATTTCGCTAACAAGAGAACAAATGGTCAGTGGCGTACATGTTTTTTTTAGAAAAATATTCCAGTGGTAACCCATATGTACGTCCCTGGTGAATATGTCGACACTTTTTTAGCTCTAAAATATGTCGCATGTATAGTAACTTTTACCTTCAAAATTTCATTCGAAACGCTAAAAGAACTTGGAAGAAAATTATAATAAATCGAAAAAATATTAAGACTTTAACACCCTGTAGCTACGAAACAAAGCAGAATCGAACCTATGTTGATATGAAAAATAAATCCTATTTTTACGTGAGGAATCTGCCCACGAGAAATGGCATATGTTTTTTGAAACGTCCTGATACAAATACCTATATGGAAAGATGGTCTTGTAGTATTATGTAAATTCTTAATCAATTAACTTACTATAATTTTTCTTTCTTCCTCGACTTTCTTTGGTGCGGGCTTTGGGTTTTTTGGTTTAACCAAAAACGTGGACCACCTCTTAGGTTTATTATTGCGCTCGCCCACCAACTTGCTCTCAGTGGTAATCGCGATTTGCTCTTGACTGAAACAGAGTATATAAAAATAAATTATCGAAGGTGAATTATGCGAAGGATGTTCTTACCCGGCCAAGTTTTCCAAATGTTTTGATAACGAGCCAGTATTCAGATCCTTTTTCGAATCTATAACAATTGTAGAAAGTTTATATTGTTTTATTGGGCAGTTTCCGTTTCAAATTGTTTTAAGAGCCCATTTCATTAGTCCGAAAAGTAGCAAAATAAGCGTTCGACAGTTAACGTTTTATGTAAAACTAGGTATTTTTACACTAATGAAGAAGGAAATTAAAAATAAAGGATTATACTATGTCGGTATTGTAGCACATTTTTAGATAACTTCTTTATTTTTAATATTTTGATGATCAAACATAAATAAAATATACCTTATGTTTGGACTAAATTTTCTCGAAAATAAAGAAATAATTTAAAATTCCGTTACAATACCGACAAAGATTGAAGTTTTGTGATTAGAGTGACATATATAGTTTATATGGTTTTGTAACAAATTGCTCACTATTTTATGGCAAATGCTGAAGCTTTGCAAACCTTAATCAAAGCACGTGTGTTTGGAATTTTTGGTGTGGCTTAACACGCCAGAATCGGGCTAAGCCGTAGGCAGATTTCTGAGATATTAGGTATATTTCCTTCGGCCGCACATCCGCTTAAAAAGGATGATTCACGGTACACCGGACCGTACCCGAGCCGGGCACGTTCCGTGCAGTAGACACCGAGCCACGTCCGGGCCTTCTGTATATGCTACACCGAGTGGACAACGGGGATCATGTCCGTGCCGATTATATTCTAGAAATCAGTGTTGCCGCAGTGGGACATTTGTACCAAATTTGATACTTTTAATTCTATTTGGTACAGTGGTACTACATTTTCAAGTCCAGGATGATTTGGTACAATAATTATTTCCCACGCGCACCGAAAATGAATAGATATTTAATAATTATTGTCGTTGATATTGCATTAAACGCGCTTACCGATACCATTCGGAGACAATCCGCATTAATTAACGACGTATTATAAACGTTGTAATGTCTATAGGGTTGCCTATATTAAATAACCCGAAGAAAAAACTTGAAAATTTGCTATTTCTAACATGCTTCTATATTTGCGTTTTTTTTTTAATAAAATTTAAGTTTTCCAAGTATCGTGTGTAGTATTAGAATTACTTTGATTTCTTCAACCTATACATACTTATAATTGGGTTTTCTGAATTTCTATTTCATGTTTTTCGTCTCGATTTGTGTCTTTCTCCAAGAAGTTTTTTTATGTAGAAATTTATGAAGAAATTCACAACGACCAAACCGGTTAAAGTCATTTGCAGATGTACCAAAGTGGTACATTTTTAGTTTATAATGTGGTACGCGCTAAAAGTTGGGTGCGGCAACACTGCTAGAAAACAGTCGCTATAGGCCCGTAGACAAACGAAGTATTTAGCCGCGGCGGCTCATTTATGTTGTATAAATAACATTTGACAATGTTTGGCCGTGCCTTCACCGTCGCACGGCTCCGGCCCGTCACGTTGTACTATGAATCATCCTTAAAGAACACTTGACAATATTTGGCCGTGTCTTCGTTACGGTGTAGCGTGAAGCATCCTTTACCCGACCCCTGAGAGCGACCCGAACAGTACAGCGTAATAGACTCTCTTAAGTTTCAACATACATACAGCAAATAATTTTATTGAAAAATGCAATATTACAGTGTGTCAAAAAAATAGTGTATCTAACTTTAATGGGTGATTCTACAGATAAAAATAAAACAAAAAATCCCTATGAACATATCCTCCCCAAAGAAGTTACAGGCTTCGAAATGTTAAACAAAAATAATATGTTTTGTTTATTTTTAAGAACATTGGTAAACCGTTCATCTTGAAAATTGGTACTCTTGCACACATTTTAATGCCAAAGCGAATGGTGGTCATGGAAAATTCCGTAACAGCCCTGAAAGGATACTTTCAATTAGGGTAGAAAGTACTATTGGTAGTACTTCTTTTATTATAATAAATATAGTAATTTCAATAAATGACATAAAAATCTAGAATTTTTTTACACAAAAAAGGTGCTCTTCGTTTAGTTCGAAACGGTGAACGGTTTTCAAGGTATTTGTGTTTAAAGATTACGATGCATCGATTTTAGTATTAGCGAAATGCTAAAATGGACAGGAATTTTAAATAAATTAATCTTCTAAAAAAAGTATTTAAAATGTTTTAATGGTCTCGCAGATACACGCAGTATTATTTCATATGGCTCTTTCAACGGTAAAATACAAGAGAAAAATAATTTGGGTGTTATTGTTAAAATTTACTGTGGAAAATGCCATATGAAATATAAAACTGCTAATATCTGCGAAACCGTTAAAAATTATAAAATATTCTAAACACAAAAAAAATAATTTTTTAATTCTCCATTTTCTGAAAAAATAATATACAGGGTGTTCCATTTAAAAAAAGGAAGAAAAATTATTTTATAAGTTTGGCGTAGAATTTTGAACAGCCTGTATAATTTACGATTGCCATATTTATAGCAAATAAGTACAGGGTGTCCCACTAAGAAAAGCTCTCGGCTGTATCTCGGAAAGTGTTAGCCGTAGCGGCTGCGGAAAAAAATATTTATAACTAAAGAGGCTATGGCAAATTGCTGGAGATTTTTTTCAAGTTTGTAGAACGACCACTAGGAGGTGCAACTGCAACAAAAAATAAGAAAATGGAGTTTTTACACAATTTTGCCTAGATAAGGTGTACTATAAGTAACAGCTTTATAATCTTCAGTAAATTTTGAATATTTTTTGTTGGAGCCATTTTCCCATATCTACCAAAATAAAGTGGTGGGGGAAGGTAAGATCTGTTTTTATTTGAATATTAATAACTCTGGACTGGATGGTCGGAATTCAACAAGCGAGAGATCGTTTAAAAGAGCGTTTCTTACTCTATATTGTACCATATAAACAATAATAATAAGCTTTTGAACGTAGATGCTAGGGGGCGTTGTCTTGCAATTTAACAACACTGCGCGTTTTTCTCAAAAAAATTAAATACGATAGTATATGTAATTTTAGCTGATATTAAACAGTAGTAAAAGCTTAAAAAGTCAGCGAAACCCGCATTTTGATATCTTCTTTCAAACCGAAGATATATACCATAAAATAAGCCCTTAACTACCTTATTTTTACAACACGGTATCAGTAGTAAATCTAATAACAATTTGACGTTTATACTATTACGCGAAAAGCAACTTTTTTCCAAAGCCTACCATGACTTCACTGAATCATCGTTTCTTGTTCACTATTATTAATATCTTAATTATTAGATATTAATGCATCTGGTATTATGGTATTCTGGTATTTCATCGATTTTAAAATAAACTAACTGTTTCTATCTTATTTTTTTGTTAGAATGGGCCTAAACAAGAGGGCTACTGAGATACTGTATTGTAAAAATAAGGTAATTAAGGGCTTATTTTTTGGTATTTATTATAATTTTGCTAATATCATCGGTTTGAAACAAGATATTATATCAAGATGCGGTTTTTGCTGACTTTTTAAGTTTTTACTACTCTTTACTATCAGCTAAAATAACACATACGTTTGTTAAATTGTAAGAAAGCGCCCCCTAGCGTCTACCTTCAAAACCTTATTATTATTATTTTTATGATATAATATAGAGTAAGAAACGCTCTTTTAAACGAGCCTTCGTTTGTTGGATTCTGATCTTCCAGTCCGGAGTTATTAACATTTAAATAGAGATAGATCTAACCTTCCCCCACCACTTTATTTTAGCAGATAGAGGAAAATGGTTCTTACAAAAAAAATCAAAAATTTACTGAAGATTATGAAGCTACTATTTATAGTACCCATCATCTATGCAAAATTCTGCAAAAAAACTATTTTCTTATTTTTCATAGCAGTAGCGCCACCTAGCGGCCGTTTTTCAAACTTGAAAATCATTTCCAGCAATTTCTCATAGGCCCTTTAGTTGTAAATATTTTTTTCCGTAAGCCCTACGGCTAATACTTTCCGAGATACAGCCGAGAGCTATTCTTAGTGGGACACCCGGTACATACCATCTAAAATAAATACCTAATATAATTTTGATTTCAGGACAGTCGTCCTTGTAACAATTTTTTTAAGAAAGCCTAAAAAATATAGATTTTTTATTTATTTATTAATATCTCTGAAGCTAGCGAAATATATTTACTTCTATCTTAGTTTACAGGGTGTTCCGTTAAAAAATCATACCGATCCACTCACACTTTTTTGAACCATCCTATAGAAGTTAAAATGTTTTCCTGAAACACATCCTCGTACATACTTTAGGTGTGCACTTAAACAAAATTTTCAAGTTTTTTATTCTAGGAGTTACAGATGCCCGACTATTGCCGGACCCTGTATATTGTAATGTTGAAGATGAAGGGTCGTTGAAGAAGCCGTAACACTTCCGTATATCGTATCTATACTTAATTAAATTACTGATTGGGCAGGACAACTTACCAGATTTATATGCTATGTTGAGGTTGTCCAATATACTTTCTATCTCACTGTTGTCTTCATCTTCCTTTAACCAATTTAATTAATTAGAAAGTAATACTTAACTCCGGTAATTTATTTCTTATTTTGTAGGTTTTACATATTTTTTTGTTTTATTAGATATATAATACTTACATTGATAATCGGTATATCATCGAACAACCCCCTACAAAGTATTATAAATTATTAAGTTTTAGTATTTAATATAATGTAGGTATCGTAAATAGTAACATCATGAATAATTTACCGTCTGATACCCAGACTAAGCTGACATCCAGCTTGATGAAGGAGATCATGTGTTTGGACGTGAGTTAATCCTGTTGTTGAATCGTCGTTTATCCGAACTATAACGTCGCCTACCATCATCCCAGCATTTTCAGCTAGACTATCCGGATTCACCTTTAACAAAACAAGAAAGAATAGTTAATATTGTTATAGGCTTGGTGCATTTCAACGATACTTTAAAATTCCGACAACAGCTCTCGGTACTACACCCGTCTGTTTTGATCGCATTGAAATAATATTGAAATTGTGGCTATGTCATAATATTTAAGTAGGTATATTGCTTCAAAGACTTCGTGGACCTGCAGAAGGCATACGACAGCGTTCCCCTTGTGAGACTTTGGGAAGCTATGGAAAAAACCAATATAAATGTAGAACTAATAAAAGCAGTGAAATCATTATATAAACAAACAAAAACTAGAATAAAAGTCGGCAAAAAGTTAACAACAAGATTTAATGGAACCAAAGGTCTGAAACAAGGGTGCTGTATTTCACCAACACTGTTCAAGATATATCTCGAACAAGTTCTCAAAGGTTGGAAGCAAAAATGTAGAAATATGGGAGTACCCATAGGGGATAACATGCTCTACACACTTTGTTTCGCGGACGATCAGGTGATCATAGCACAAAATTACGATGACATAAATTATATGGCACGTAAGCTTATAGAAAAATATCAGAAATGGGGACTCGAGATCGATACTAACAAAACAGAATATATGTGTATCGGAGGAGAACAACAAGATCTAATACTAGAAGAAGGGAAGAAAATTAGGTGCTGCACAAAATACAAATATTTGGATATGCAAATCAAAAATGATGGACTGTTGGATACAGCAATTAAAGAACGAAACCAACTTGGAAGGAATGCTATCACGGTATTGAATGGGATACTGTGGGACAGAAGCATAAACAACAAGAACAAAACTTTAATATACAATACCATCATAAAGAGTATAACCACGTACAGCTGTGAAGTCTGGCCAATTAAGGAAACAACAAAACGAATGCTGGAAGCTGCAGAGATGGATTTTTGGAAAAGATCAGCAGGCAAATCAAGACTCGAGCGAATAACTAATGAACGCATAAGAGAGATTACGGAAGTTAAACATACGATAGTGGACGACATAAAGAACAGTCAACTCATATGGTACGGGCATGTCCAAAGAATGGCAGAAATAAGAATCCCAAAGCAAATTATAAACTGGAAACTTGCAGGAAGAACAAAACCGGGTAGACCGAGAAGAAGTTGGCAGGAAGGGATTGACATATGGAGAAAAGATCTCTCGGAGACGGTGCATGGAACTAAAGTCGTCATCGTTCTTGAAAAAAAAATTTAGTGGCAAGAGAATTTATTTTAGCGTAAAAGAAAATATTTTGCCTGAAGAAAAACTCTCTTAACTCAAGAAAACTGGTTCTCTTGAAAAATTTGAAAATTTCTCTTGAATCTATTTTCATTCAACCAAGTGCAAGTTACTTTGTTTTAAGATAATAAGAAAAATACGCTAGGAAGTACTTCATTCAAGAAACATGGCCATTTTTCCAATAGCTAAATACTCTTTTGATGAAAAATAATAACGTCACGCAAAGACGATGACGAAGGACGGTATACAATCAGTCGGCAGTCCGATCAGTCGTACGTCGCATTTCATAGGTCGCACATCATAGTACGCACGCATTTTGTTGCTTGGAATTTTCCACTTGGAATTTAGCATAATTTGCTTTTTAAACGCATATCGTATTACAAATTAGTGATCGTTATTAACATGCATTTGTCATTTTTATGGACAAATTTTAGGATATATTGATTCTTTAAAGGAGTTTCTCAAAAAATGGAAATTACAGCATTTATTTGCAATATTTGAAGGTAAGAGAAGGTAAGAGAAGTTACATAATGCACCTGTTTAGATAATGCATGCGTGACTATAGATAGAATAAGAATATAGGTATCAATTTTTTTATGCAAATAATTACAAACATTTTAGAATTTTAAGTCGTATTAAAAAATTCAAAATGTAACCAAAGCTTATAATTTTAATAATTTATTTGCTTTACTTTGATTAATCCTGATGTAACATTTTTTTGTAATTTGTAGAGTGATGAACCACACCAAAAATACCAAGGAGTGAAGAAGCAAAAAAATAACTGCTATCGAGAAAATAATATCACTTTACTTACTACTCTGTAGTAAGTAAAGACCAAGAAAACCTAAATTTATCAGACGCGATATCCTCGAAACTGTTTATAGCAACACTAGAAAAATGTTCCGTCAATTAGACTGGACCAACGAAAGTTTAAAAATAGATGGAAAATATCTTAATCATCTAAGATTTGCTGATGACATAGTCCTAATTGCCAATAGTTCTGAAGAACTATAAGCACAAATTAACGAACTAAATACAGCCAGCAATAAAGTAGGTTTCAAAATAAATTTAGCAAAAACTAAAGTAATGTACAACGAACTAATAGACAGAAAAGACATTCTCATAAATAACACAACACTGAAAATGGTAGAAGAATATACAGGATGTTCCAAACAACATGTGTCATCTCTCGTGGGGAGAATCCTCACGTAAAAATAAGATTTATTTTTCGTATCAACATACTGTTTGACCAGCGGATCTGAAGCTACGGAAGCCACGTTTATCTATAAAATTGCAAAATTGCCAGACATGAACTATAAATTTAATATATTTTTATTATACATATATAATGTGTTTAGCATATATTCTGACGTATATTACTAAGGAATTTTAACGTAGTTCATATTGGTCGATATGTTTTATTTAATAACTTATTTCTTTCATTCTGTATAATCTGCCTTTTATGAAAGTTGAAGATTTTTCAACGATATCATTGGCAAACCGGCATCGCCAAACCGCATGGCCGCCTATTCATCGAACATGATTGGCGAAGTACGTCACAGGATTTGTTACCACGCGGTTGCCATGGCTTTTACGCCTTTCCTATTCGCTTGCTTTATCCCCAACTTCACGGTCTCTTCTGAAAAGAGTAGGAATATTGAATACTATTGAAATATCCAGTGGCGGTGTCATTTTTTTGATCATTATTACTTTATTTCATTATTTTATACCGGTTATCCTAAACTTTATTCCTATATTTTTAGTATATTTGATAGTTAAGTTGTGTTTTATTGTTTTGTTATCTTGTTATAATGTTTTTCGTTCGTAGTTTTTAATTATTAATATCAAGTTTGATCGTATATTTGTGTTTTAAAACGAATAAATTTGTTAAGGGTAAGACGCTACATAGTCAGACAAGAGAAATAATAGCTAATTTATATAGGTAAGTTAATAATAACGTGGATGAAATCTCATTTGGTGTATTTCCTTGTGTTCATAATAGGGTTTGCGATGAAGAAGCTACAGAGAGTTCGCTTGAGTTGCCGCTTAAACGTAAACTTGAGCGGATATTTCTTTATACCGGAGTTAGCGTATCGGCTATAAAAAAATTCACACAGAAGATAAAAAAAAGGCTGAAAACTAACCCCGATAAAATGATATCCTCTCTGGAAAGAAACGACCACGTGAGACTGCTGTCGAAAAGCTCAACGACTTTTTCGAAGTGGTCAGGAATTTGATAAATAGATTTTATCTCGAATTCAAACTCGTCCCCACAATTAGAAAGCTTTTGCAAAAATTGCAGGAAGAATCGAATTTTCCTTTTGCAGGGAAACGCTTAGGGGGTTATTAAAATCAAATGAATTTTTTTGGCGTAAATGTTAAAATAACAGATAAATATTAATGGAGCGGCCCATTATATTGCAGAGAGAGATATAAATATATATACGCGAAATTCGAAAATATAGCCAAGTATTATCTATTTGGATGAAACATATTGGTAGACAATGACCTAACCTTTAAAAACTGCTGGCGGAGCGATACCATATCTGGTGTAATAGGCAATATTGGATCTACTGGTGAGTAAAATTATGTTTTGTTTGCGCTTCCAAAGTTAACTATTTTCAAGATTTTGTTTTGCTGGAAATAGTTATATCTAAAATTATGTATTAAGTATAGAAAAAAATATAGTTAGTACAGATATATAAATAAATATACCTCAAGACTCAGTCTTGATCATCTGCTGATGGCAGACATGGTTAGCGAAACGTGCGTCCAGTGTAAAATTAAAAGTGTTTTGGTGTATTGTACTGATTTAGTGTTTTATTTTGCTGTGTAACACTAAAGGTTCTAACCCCCACCTGTAATTATTTCTTTCTATTATATTAACAACACAATAATAAAATGATTCAAAATATTTAAGGGAGCTTAAATAAAAGCTTTTAGTGTTTATCTGCTAACTCAACAGTAACGATTCAAACAGCATAAAGTTTTTTGAAAAAAATTATTAATCTGAGTATTATATTTATGATACACATTATTTTCATATAACACCGTACGCCCATGCCTATTTTATGAATGAAATTGGGCGTGTGTTGTTTACAACTGCGTTCCCCTGCCGATACCCCATAGCTACAGATCCGTTGGTCACACTATAGGTCCGATTCTGCTTTGTTTCGTAGCTACAGGGTCTTAAAGTCTTAATAATTTTTCGATTTATTATAACTTTCTTCCGCAAGTACTTTTACTGATTCAAATGAAATTTGAGGGTAAAAGTTACTATAAGTGCTACATATTATATTATTATGCTAAAAAACTGTCGATAAATTAATCATGGAATCTGGAATACCTACCTACCTATTTTTCAAAAAAAAACATGTGCGCCACTGACTTTTTTATTTTGATATCAAAATTCTGTATGCCGTTTAATGCTAATTAAAAATTATCTCTAGATATTTTGTCGAATTCGGCCTCCTTCATGAGATAAACGCGATTTATATGAGATATCACAATTAATAAAACTAAAATTGAAATAAAATTAATAAATTACATATTTTATCTAATTTATTATTAAATATTATTACTATAAGTCCAACCTACAGCAATTTCAAATAAAAAAATAATGGTATTTAAGATAATTACAAAAAAACCTAATTTTAAAAAGTTTTAACATCCTGTAACTCTAAAACTATGCATTTCCATATCCATGTTTATAGGAACTTTTTTTCATATTTTTTGATGAGGAATGAGTACTTGTTAAAAACTTTCGCAAGTTAATGATATTCATTTTTTAAAGCTTGCAATTAGCCTTGTATCCAAACAAATTAATAAAATTGCGTTTATCTCATCAAGGAGGCCGAACTCGACAAAATATCAAGAGACAACTTTTAATCGACATTAAACGACTTACAATATTTCTCTAACAATAGAAAAAAATGTAAGTAGCGTACATGATTTTTTTAGAAAAATATTCCATTGATAACCCATATGCACATCCCTGGTGAATATGGCAACACTTTTTTAGTATTAAAATATGTCTCATTTATATATATATATATATATATATATATATAGTAACTTTTTCACTCAAAATTTCATTGGAATCGCTAAAAGTACTTGAAAGAAAATGAGAACAAACCGAAAAAAATTACTTTAACACCCTGTAGCCACGAAACAAAGCAGAATCGGATATGTTGATATGAAAAATAAATTTTATTTTTACGTGAGGAATCTCCCCACGAGAGATGGCAGATGTTTTTTGAAACACGCTGTATATATGTTTATTTAGGACAACTAAATAATATTAACCCTGTTGTAGAGATACTACAATATGGTACTAGTATTAAGATACTAAAATGGCTAGTCAAAAAATACACACTAACATTACAAAAGTTTTCAGTTGCAATACATCAGGAACCAAGTTTAAATCATCCAAAGATTCACAACTGCAAATAGTAATCAGTATCTATAAAAAACTTGATATGCATAAATTTTATGAGTTTTTATAACTTATCGAAACAGGTTGTCAAATAAGTGTTACATTAATTGAAGATATGAGTGGATAGTGTCATGTCGCTTTTTTAAATTTTCGAGTAAATGGACAAAACACGTGTAAAAATTATTGATGGTGTATGTGACATGATACCTTTATCACCGAGGATATTCTTTGTGGTATTTATGTTTGATATTTAGAGTCTATTGGAGGATAGATCTGTCAAAGGGATGTTGAAATTCTGAATAAAACTGATTTAAAAAAAAAATGCGACATGGCACTTTTATCAACTCATGTCTTCAATTGTTACCTTAACAACCACTAGCGGCTGGTTGAATTCGGCACCACCAACCAGCCTAAATCCCCAAGAAGTGCCAGTGTCCGATTTGAAGAGTTTCAACTCTATCGCCATCGCAAAAAAAGTTCTAGAAGACGCACTAGTGCGCGCACTATGTTTGAGTCACACTTTTGTTTCGAGTTCGATACTGCGATAAAATTATTTGGCTACAATTAAATTCACCCAACGATTGACACACATTGGCGACACAGTGATATATAATATCGGTTATTTTTAACTCTTAATTTTCTAGCCGTACTACTAATTGAAACATCTTCACAGAAGAAAAGCGAACCAATATTTTCAAACTTTCTCGAATTAATAAATTTTCTTAACTCTTAACAGCGACAATAGAACCGTGATAACCTTATATCTGCGAGTTTGAATTTTTAGGAGTTGCGATTTGCGATATTGTTGCGAATGTAATTTTGTGGTCTATTGAAGCATTTTATAGTAAACTGCAATTTAATTTTCTCTCTGATATTATTTATATATAGAGGAGATCAATGACTAAAGAATCCAAAGACAAATAACACCCGAGAGCAAATTATGACGATGCCATCAAACAGTGCCGTAGCACATATTTTTCTTAACCTAGCTGTTTCAAGCAATATTTATATTTTTTGATAATTGTTTTGACTACGCCTATGGTGTACCATCCTAATTAATTACGAAAAAAACGTATTAAAATGTTAACAAAAGGTACAAAACTAGTATCGACGTATAGCACATATCAAGTACATATAGATATTAACTGAAATTGAAGAATAATTATCGAATTCAATAAGAAAACGCTAAAAAGTTGGAGTGGACTGTTTATTTACTTATGAAACGTAACTCCCGGCTCTTTCTTATCGCTGCTGCTTTTACACTTGAAAGCTGAACAACTAATCACCATTATAATAAAGTTTATACAAAGTTTACTACACACAAACTATTAAAATCGCTAAAATTGTCCCTGGTGACCAAATGATGACTCATTGTTTGCCACCAAAACAAAAAGCCACGATCATAATATACCGGGTGTTTCTCAAGAATTATAACTTTTCCTAAAACTTGGAAAATAAGTTGGTTATAATAATGGTTTTATAATTCGGAAACTCTCTATTTATTTATCTAGTAATGCTAAAACACTCTATTTGAAAGTCGATTAGAGAAAATAGTATGATTCATTGGCAAGTAATGTAAATATTTACGATCCGGTAAAATTGTGATGTAAGAGGAGGCTTAGCTAGCCGGAGGCGAATCAGTAGTTGATAGGCCGGCCGGCTGTTGTGTTGTGTTTTGTAATAGAGCAGACATTTGGGGGTTGAAAGTATTTTGACTATAAACGTTGCATGTACTGTAAGGCAACGGGTCGTTTGACCATGAGAAGAAAACCTCTTGTGACGTCTTGCCTTTGAGGTTGGTCTTGAGAGTTTGAGGTCTCCCTTGTCTTCTCGATTGACACGATGCGGCGTTGGGGTAGTGAGGTACCCCAATTAGCCTATTCGATTGGGATGCGAATCTGTTTAGCGGCAGATTTGCGTCTGGAGGAAGCCCCTATACTATTTCAGGTGACACTAGCTAGTTGTTGAAGATTATTAATCAATAGATCCGAATAATATTTGAATTAGATGGAAGATATGGAATGGGATATATTGAAAAGAATATCAGTGAGGTCAGTGGCTAGGGGGCGGAGTACCCCCGGGTGAGTCTTACTATTTAACTATCAATTTTATCCAGATCAGTAAATGTTTGTTTTGTTATTTTCATGTACAATGAGAGAGTGCTTGCCAATGACCAACTAAATGGATATTTGAGGTGAATTTGCATTGTGAGACCCGGTTGAGTAAGCCCCAAAAATAGCAATTTACATTTTTTATTTTTTCTGATAAAAAAAACGAGATTGGTATGTTAGTATATGACATAAATTAGGATTGATTGATGTAGTCAATTGTTTTTGGCCACTTCCTGTTTCATCGGAAATGACGACAACTTTTGATTTTAAAATATATCACCCTCGGTATTTTTTTAGCTTATTCGATAGAAAATGACACTTTGAATAGAATGGCATATCCTAAGGGCATATCATACGGCAACTTTTGACATTTTCGCTTAATAAATCGTATTTTAAATATCAATATAGAGTATCATGGCTGTATTAAGCACTAATTATTAATCAAGATGCCTTGGAAAAATAGATTTGATCGTCTATTGTTTTTCGTGTCTTCCCCTGACCAGTTACAAGATGCCCAAATCGTATTGAAGTGAAATTTCTATACACGTGATGGGAGTTAAAATTGAAGGCCGTGACATACGAGACGCGTCAGGCAAAGTGGTAACGATCGGAGGTTAACATGGAGCATCATAATTCGGGCCCTATGTGAAATAGGGGGCTGATACTCGGATTCTATCTCTATAGGGGCATTTTGACGGCGTTTCATGCACTGTGAGACTCCATTATCAATGGCAAAATAATCGTCCGATTTAGTGGCTCTTTGGAGCGTCGTAACTCAATGTTAAAAAAACTTAAAACTAAACTACTGATTATTATTAACCTTTTAAAAACTGTTAAGCTATCGATACATACACAGACAATTATATACCTAGTACAATATTTAAATATTAAAATCTCAATCGCAGGTTACGGCCGCTTTTGCTCATCTCTACTAATTTGACCATCCCCGTGTAGTTGTCGATCGAGATCCCGATGGTAGATATCAAATTTCAATTACACTGTATATTTTATAAAATTCCGAAAACAAAGCTATATAAGATTTGATTGATTGATCTCTTCTCATTTAGTTGGAAAATACCTTAATCTATTTAATGACATACATTTGTCTCAATAAAGCGTTTTTCCGTAAGACTGCAATGTAGATCTTGTGTACTATAATTAAAATGCAATAGTTTCATTCCTATTTTATATTTAAATAATAATAAATAATAATAAATATTATAAAATTACACCTAAATCAAGTACAAAAGCATCAATTTCTTTGAAAATTCAAACACAAACTAAAACTCTTTGCCAAGTATTTTATAAAAATACTCTAATGCATTGAAGAAACTATTATTCTATTCCCTAAATAAAACTTATGGTTTCTTCTTTTCTTCTTCAGTCTTCTCAGGTGCTGCCGCCGGGGCTTGAGATGTGGTACCAGCTGGTTCAGCTGCTGCTTCAGTCGAAGCTGGATCTGCTTGTTCAGTAGCGGGATTCCTGTTGTCGGAAGCTAAAACAAAAAAATATAGTATTAATTGTTACAGATCTAATTTAAGTTTGTTGTAAAATTCATATTAAAGATAATTAATGTCCAAAAAAATATGTTGTCCGAATTTTAATAAAACTTGTGTATAAAATTGATAATTAATTATAAGAATACCTGATTCAATTGAAACTGTTGTAGAGCAATTAGGAGCGGCAGGTTTTTGAGTTGAACTAGTAACGTTATGAGGTCTAAATCGGTTCTGAATATTGTGTATAGTGTTTTCGACAGTGTTTCCAATTGTCTGAATGATACCAGGTCTACTTGTCGACCCTTCATCTAAAAATGATTAATTTATTATTAGCAGGACATACTACTGAAAACTATTTAGTTGAAAATGCATTAGTATGTATATATAATACTCTGATAGTTCAATTCAAAAATCGCCCACCAGAATTAAACAAGGCCTAGTGTGAACTTGTCAATGAACTTGCCACAAATATTTTGCAATATTTTTAATTAACATTACTTTTTGATGTTATTCTTCATATTGACGGGGTAGCTTTTTAGTGTCAAAGATTGTGTAAAAGTCAGTGATCTTGTTGAAGATGGCCAAAATTATGAATATTCGCCTGGTCTTTAAAAACGAATGGGAAAAAATAACACAATATATTAATTTGCATTAACAGTATGAACCGACCGACGACGTCTACAACCAGTTATATAGCAGCCGGGGGAGGTAATACAAAGTATTAGGGTTCTTTTACAAGTTTTTTGTTTGTTTTTACATTTGGTTATTACAGTTATTTTCTTTAATATCCTTAGTTCTGTTAGTGTTACTAATATTTATTAAAACTAAGCCGGTATCGTTACTTTTTTATATGTAATATAAGAATCGCTTTTAAAGCGTCCTTCGACGTTGTGCAATGCCTAGTCGCCGTTGGTTTCGTTCATCCCTGTCTCCGTCACGCAGATCCCTTGATCTTGCCTTCTTGACACCCTCCATCCAGTTTATTCTTGGTCTTCCCCGTTTCCTTCTCTTTTGTGGAAGCAAGTTTAGTACCTTCTGAGGCAGTCGCGTGTTGTCCATCCTTCTCACATGTCCATGCCACTTCAGTTGGGCACTCTCTATTTCCTCTACTATAGTTTTCTATCTATCCATTTTGTCCCTGATTGTCTCGTTTCGTACTCTATCCAGCCTTGATGTTTGTGCTGATCTCCTTATCGCGCCCCTTTCTACGGCTAGTAATTTTCTTTTGTTATTCTGCGTTAACCTCCTTTATATTTTAAATGGTTTTGATATTTTATTTCCAGTTTTTGTTGATGAACAAGAATTTTTATATATCTTTTGTATTGCTGTTATAAGTTTGTGATTTAATCTGGTTAGTTTAAGAGATCCCCACAGTTTGGTAATAGGAACGCTATCGTAAGCTTTCTGGAAATCGACAAACATTAGGTGTACATCTTCATTTATTGCTATTTTCTTTTCAATGAGAAATTTCAAACAGACCATTACCAGTGCAGGATTTCCCAGCTCTAAAATCCGATTGTTCTTCTTCTTGATCTTTTATTCGTCTTCAATTAGATCTGTTAATACTCTACCATATATTCTGCTTATTGTGCTTGTTACCGATAATCCTCTTTAATTCTAGCACTGTTTCCTGTCGCCTTTTTTATGGATAGATGTTATGTATGCCCATTTTCCATTCGTCTGATAGTTCTTCCCTGTTTACGCATTTGCTGAAAATATATGTAAAGCATGCTATTAGTTCATCAAAAGCATATTTAATAAGTTCAGCATTGATACCCGCTGGCCCTGATGCTGTTACTTTTTTAACATTTCTTAAATTTTAATATAGACCTCTAATGAGTGTCGATAGGGCAGTTAATATGATGAATTAATAATGGGCATTATAACAGTTAGTAGTCACCAAAGCGCCATCTCGGAGTTAAAAAATATCATCATAAAGTAATAATGATAGTTAAAAAAATTGCAAATTGTTGGTGGCAACTTCATTTCGCTCTTAAAAATTAATTAATTAAGATATGTGTTGACCTTTGTCAAAAATCAAAATGCTCAGGAGATAATATGGTTCCGATCGAAAAATAATGTTTTAGGAAAAGTTACTCAGGAAATTATTGCACAGGGAAATTATTGCACATTTAAAGTAAAGATAAAAAGCAACCCTTCAATTAACCCTGTATAATAAGCAAGCGACACTTTTTATTTGGGAAAGCTAGGCTAGAACCGGAGAAACTATGCTCTCATCCTATCAAGGACCTGCATAAGCTAGTGCAGGGCACAGGGATAGGAGAATAGGTGCAGATATAGAAGGGGGACAAACACAATAGGCCTCACAGGTCGCAGTGTTTCCGGCAGAGGTCGGCCCCTTGTTATGGAAAAAAACCCTATATAATAATCCAAATACTAAAGTTTATAAAAAATTGAGTTTATGAATTAAAGTTGATAGATTTATATACAGTTTGCTAAAAAAATCATGAAAATAGGGCTAAAAGTAAAAAAAATATAACACTTGATGAAAAAAAATTCCGTTGTGTTTTTTTGCATCTGAGTGTAGATAGTAGTATTCGTAAAGTTTGAAAAACAATGAAAGAAAATAATGTTTTTTAAAATTTTCTTAGTTCTTACCTTGCGCTACTTGTGGTGGTTTTGTGCTACCAGGTCTTTGAATCAATTGATTGAAAGCATTACCTGGAAATATTTTAAATAAAATATAAATGTATATTTGCAAAAATTATATTAAGAATTTAGAAAAAAATACGATAAAAATTAATAAAGGTAAAACATTCATGTTCTCAAAAGAAAAAAAGTATATCTAAAATTACCAAAGTTCTCGAACACTTGCTGGATGGGACCAGAAGATGGTGTTGAACCTTCGTCTCCTTGGGTAGCTGGAGCTGGAGTATTTGATGGAATGATACCGCTTACTGCCTGACTGATTGAACTGATGGCACCAGAAAAGACTCCCTGAGGACCTTGACCACTTCCTGGTAAGATTACAGTTTATCATTTTTTATTTTATAAACACAGTGTTCCATATAAGAATGCACACTACAGAGATCTTGTTTACAAGAAGACATATAAAGATTATCAAATTTGAGAAAATTTGCGTCTTTCAGAGCCTTAAATTTCAATTTTCCCCAAATACGTTAAGTAATTGGTTAATTTCAGTGTTCGAAACATGATGTAGGGTTTCAGCAAGCAGTTACCTTTCTATAATTTAATCATCCTTGCTAATCTTCTGGTTTACAGATTTCTGTATTGTGTATTCTTATGCTGGACAACGTGTATGTAAGAAAATTCAAGTCTTTAGAACGCGGAATATTATACAGGGTGGTTTGAATTGTATTGAGGAAACTTCGGCATTATATTATGTATAGAGATGTGTATTAGTTCGTGAACGAACTAGTTCCAATGAACTATTCCGACCCCGGAATGAAAGGAACTAGTTCCCGGTTTCTCAAAGAACTAGTTCCCGGTTTCTCAAAGAACTAGTTCCTCAGGACCTATTCGGGAATCGAGACTGTGACCGATATAATTAACATGCGACGGCGACGGATCGGCCAGCGCGTTCGCAGCCCGATGCTAGGCTAGAGTGCCAGCCGTATGTTACCTGTCCCGGACCGAAAGGACTGAGAGGAACTAGAGGAACTAATTATTAAAAGATAGTTCACGGGACTCTATTCAGTCGGCAGATCCGAGATATAAAGGCGGGCGGCCACTGCGAGCGGAACTAAACTAAGCGAAGATAAGATTTGTAAAAATCAGCTTCCATACTTTTTAATGCGCCAGTGGCTACTTGAGAGAAACAAAACGAAAATATATGAACGAAGATTCGACTCGTAGTTTAGTTTCGCTCTAAAACGAGCGAAACAGGTTCGTGACAGGTTCCAGCGAAATTTTCGCAGCGATTAGTTCTATGATAGCGGAGATACAATACGAAAACTTAGCTGACTACTGAGCGAAAATCGTTCCCAGTGGAGTTCCCATTTAATTACCGTTTGTTTTCATATTCTTAGCTTAGTTTAGTTACGCTCGCAGTGGCCGCTCGCCTTAATACAAGGCGACGACGAAGGATTCGGTCTTGTCTATTGCCACAGCTGCAGCCTGCGTAATCACCACAGAAAATTGTTGTGGATACTATTTTTGATTTTTAGTTTGTTCTTTGAATATTTTATGGGAATGTTTCGCTTTAGGTTCCTAAAATTAAGAAATATCTTATAAAACGAAGTATATAGTAAAGGAGCGAAGACTCCACTAACTGGACCAGAACAGTTCTGCTTCCCAAATGGAAACCAAATTAAAGCGAAACTCAAGAACCTGGAAAATTCCATCCGTAACTTGGAATGGGTCTCCAACGGTCTAAGACACTCGAAAAAGTTCCTCAGAACTTCCGACCGAGAAAAATCAAAGATTTTTCTTGATTTAAGTAAAAACAATCTTCGCATTGTCCACGGGGTTTCTAACACGACACTTCCTCCTCAACGAACACCTCAGCAGTTTGAAGCTAAGAAACAACGGCAAATGCAGATTATATGAGGAAAATGGGGTAACACCAGGACACCTATAGAGAACACCTCATCACTGAGTGCGCCGAGACGACAACCATTCGTGCCATAAATTTGATACGACAGATATCGGAGATGGAGAACTAGCCTCTGTACAGGCATATGAAATTGTAGAACATTCTTAAATTTGTATCTATGTGTAGAAAAAAATAATATATGCACCTCGTAAGAAAAGAACAATCTTGGAGTCCCACTAGTTGTGTACCAATCTTCACCATCTTCCGAAAATGTTTTACTTTTTACAAAGCAATAAAAAATAATAATATGAAGTATGCAGTGTAAATAAATAGCCATAAAAGTTATTTTGCGTTAGAGTTTAATTTTGGAATTAAAAAATAATCTGAATTAAAACACATCTTTAAGTAATTTTAATAATATATATATTCTTAAAAAATTTTCTCACCTTCACTTGAATTCTGTCCTTGGAAGACTTGTTGGATACCGCTTATTATACCTCCAAAAATATTACCAGTGCCACCACTGCCTGGTGAGGTACCACTATCACCTAGTACTGTACTGTTGCTTCCTGTCGCTTGTTGCTGTTGTCCTAATTGCTGTAGGTTGCCAGCAATGTTTTGCACTCCTGAAATAAAGTAATATAAATTAAAAAAAGAATCGTATAAATGTGATAAATAAATATAAGAGAAGTGTTTTTTTTTTCAACAAATATTCTTAAACCGTTTTTTTTTCTTCTATAAACACGGTATTTTACATAAGAATGCACATACATGAATCTTGTAAACAAGAAGAGATAGAAAAATGATTACACTAGAAAATTTTTTTTTTGCAGAGAACCCTAACAACTTACAAATATCTAGCTTTAAGTCATGATTCGAAGTTTAAAAAAAAATCCTATTATTTCCGAAGATAGAGAATCCGTATCTTGGTTCAGAGCCAGTACTGGGAATACCCAAATACGAGTATATAGGGAGTTCCAGGCTGAGCGTGAATTAGAAGTTTCTAGAAAACCACAATATCTAAATCCGAGATTTTTTGCACATCATTGTTATACAACAAAATCTATCGATTAGAAATATTTTCAATATGGCGGCGCTTCCGGAAATACCGGAAGTTGACAACAACTTTCTTATTTTAAATGGGTGCCCTCATTTTTTAATACATACTTAAATTCTCTATAAAATTCTATGAATATTGATGTTAACACTCTATACCTTCATCCAAGGACTTTATTCTAAAACTGCAAACTCTACAATAAGGACCCTGAAATAGCAGAGCACATAATATTTCACTTTTCTAGATCTCAAGCGACACTTTATTTGATTCTTTTTGGCAAAGCAAGGCTAGAACCTAGGCTAGAACCAGAGGGAATATGCTTCCATCCTATCAAGGACCTGCACAAGTTGGTGCAGGGTACAGAGTGGATGCATGCTCCCTCAATTTCTTATTGTTTCCGAGATCTTTATAGTCACCCTCACACTTAACACACCCTGTAATGTGCAATATAAAAATGCCTACATCTAATTTGTTAAAATACGTCCAATTTGAAAGACATCACTTTTTATTTGTAAAAGAGATAAAGAGCCAAAAAAACTCTGAATTCTGATCTTTTTAGGGTTCCGTACCCAAAGGGTAAAAACGGGAACCCTATTAGTGAGACTTCGCCGTCCGTCCGTCCGTCTGTCACACAGGTCTATCTAATGAACCGTTATAGCCAGACAGTTGAAATTTTTATTGATAATGTATCTATGTTGACGCTATAAGAACAAATACTAAAAACAGAATTAAATAAATGTTTATAAATAAAAAAGTACTTTCACTAAACAATATCTTTTAAGTAAGAATTTTACATAGAATCTTTCAAGTCCTCGGTGGCCGCGTGGTTAAAGCGTTAGGACTTTACGCTGCTATGACGTTGGAGCCGTAGTAAGGCAGGTTCGAATCCTAGTCAAGGCGACTTTTTTTTAATCGTTTTTTTTTTAAATTTTACATATTTATTTTTACTTTTTACATATTTATTATTGATTAGTACAATTTTTAGTAATGTATTTCTTCATTTATTTTTAATTACTTATATGCGCATTCAAAATTTCAGCTAAATCGGAAAAACAGTTTATAATAATATAGTGTCTAATGTTGTATAGATAATGAATGGTACGGAACCATTTGACTCTATTTTTTTATAAACTGGTAATAATGCAGTTTCTTTTATATCGACCAGTCAGCATTCAAAGTTCAATATCATAATAAATATGTTGTAAAAGAGGCTTTAACCGTTACCCGATACGTGATTTCACATAATTTCTAATAGCATAAACCTGTTAGGCGATAAAATATGCTGAATACCCGCATATGTGATAAAGATATATGCAAATGAACCGTGTAGATGAACGACATCGAGTGAACTTGGAAAGGTTTACAAGATTTCTTGTAAAAGATGTACCTATAATATAAAATCATAATATCCGAGTAAATAAGTACTACTAAGTAACAACAGCTACTAACTAAAATCTTCTACATACGGTCGGCTATAAATTTGTTCTTTCGTTAAAAATAATTAAATATATTATAATTATACCTATAATATCATACGATCGAAAAAATATCCCCATAGTATACAGGGTGCTTCAATATTGGGATATTGCCTTTGGGATATTCACCAAGATGCTATCAAAAAAGTTTTAAAAATTCCAAGGATCGTTGAGTTTTTTGTAAAAACGGATTTTTCTGAAAATCAATTTTATTTTTTCCTGACGTTACTTTTAAAAAATCAAAAAACTAATTGCACATTCTCATAGCTACTTTATTAGGGCTATCTGATAGTATTTTTAGATTTTCAAATTAGCTGATAATTTGTGAGATACATAGGTCAACATAATTTTGGTGGGGCATTACTTGACGTCATTTGTAAAAGTGAAATCAATACATCTCAACATTTACAATAAAGAGTACAAAATGCATTCGGAAGTATGAGAAGAAGATCTGTTGAAGGAGCTATAAATAAAATTGAACGAGAAATAAATTTTCAAAATAAGTGCAATAGGGAGGGTGGTAACCCTTTCGAACATGTAGAGCATTAGAAACTAGTTTGTAGAAGTTGAATTATTTATAATAACTACGATTAATATTATGTATATTATTAGATGGCACACTGAGGTTTCAAATTCGCAATAAAATAAATTAAAAATAATATCTTTAAATTGCTGATCTGGATATTAATTATTTGAATCTTTCAATTGGCTCGATTTTCTTTATTCAATGTTAATTAGCGCTGATCAATATTGTTGCGATAAATATAATCAGATTTAATAATTAAAAAAAAACAGAGTCGGACTTTATTTTAAATAATCTATACTAATATTTAAAATCCTTCAGTAACTGACATACTGATTAATCACTATCCTGCTCAAACCACTCAACGTAAGAAGTTCAATTTTTTCATACAGGTTGATTCTAGGGTGTAGAGGTTCGATAAGAAAGGGTTTTTCGAAATTTCAGTTCCAAGAGGGTGAAACCGCCCCTCAAATATTACAATATTTTTTATTTAAAAAACGGTCAAGTTTCCGAAAAAACGCTTAAACACGTATATTTTATTTTGTTTTTTACATATTTTAAGATTTTTTAAAAATGTATACAGGGTGTTTCGAAAAATCTGGTCATTGATTAATTACGATCCTGCTTAAAGCGCTTGACGTAAAAAGCTGATTTTTGGAAAACAGATTGACTTTAGGGTGTAGAGGTTCGATAAGAAGGGATTTTTCGAGACTCGAATTCTAAGGGAGTGAAACTATCCCTTAAATATTAAAATATTTTTTATTTAAAAACCGGTGAGTTTTTCGGAAAAACTCTTAAACACGTATATTTTATTTTGTTGCTTTACATATTTTAAAATTTTTTATAAATTTATACAGGGTGTTTCATAAAATATGACCATTGAGTAATCACGATTCTGCTTAAACTGCTTGACGTTTAAAGCTGATTTTTAGCAAACGGATTGAGTGTGGGGTGTAGAGGTTCGATAAGGAGGGGTTTCTCGAATCTCAAATTCCAAGAGGGTGAAAACGCCCCTCAAATATTATAATATTTGTTATTTTAAAAACTGTTAGTCTTTCGGGAAAACGCTTGGACACGTATAATTTATTTTGTTTTTTTACATATTTTGAAATTTTTTAAAAAATCATACAGGGTGTTCCAAAAAGTTGGATAATTGATTAACCACGATTCTGCTTAAACTGCTTGACGTAAAAAGCTTATTTTTGTCAAACGGATTTTTCAAAAGTCAAATTCCTACGAGATGAAACTACCCTTCAAATATTACCAAGTTATGTAATAATATCGCCATATTGTTTTTTCTCATGCTGACATAAATGTTAGAAATTTTATCCAGTTTGTATGTTAATGGAAATTTTTGCTTTGCTTTATCATCACCATTACAAACGAGTAATTCGACGCGAACGATGTCGCGGGTACACGCTAGTAAATTATATTAGAGTAGTTAGATGAGTGTCGATTTTCATCTAATATTATTACTCAACATATCTATTGTATTTCATAGTTGTTACCTATAAGGTAAATGAAATTATGGCATCTTAATTCCGGTTAATATTGTCCCAAAGGAGTTCAGACACAATTAGCGTAACCAAGACGATATTCAGTAAGAAATAATATAATTTAATAATAATTTTAATAATAAAAAAAATTATATTACCATCAGTAAAGAAGGCGAAGAATCCTTGAATACCACCTGGCTGCTGCCCATTATCGCCACTGGTTCCACCTGGTGCGTTGCCTTGAGTCTGCGACTGGATATTCTGCAAAAAATTACTCGTAGCATTCTGGAAACTTGAAATGAAACCTTGGATAAAGTTTCCTCCCCCCTCCTGCCTTAAAGACTCCTCCAACTTTGAATTCTCAATCAAATTGTTCACGCTCCTATCCAACTCGTCCCATTGCTGTTTGGATGGAGAAAATTCATTTTCCTTCGGTTTGAAGTTGTTTCTCAAATTTTCCAGACCTTCTTCTATAATTTTTTGAGCAGTTTCTCTCAAACTCAGAGAACTAGCTTCTCTCAATTCTCCAGACTTAACTTCTTCCTGAACTGGAATGTGCTTGTATGCTTGAGATAACTCTGACTGAGACAGTTGGACTTTGGCATCGAAATTTTTAACGAGGTTTTTGTTAGCTTCAGGGGCGTGATTTTCTTCTGCCAGACTCAGCTTCTGTAATCTGAGTTCGTTTTCTTTCAGTTCTTCGGGTGCGAGCTGGGGTTTTTCGGCTAAATTCTGACCGATGCTGTGTTCCAGTCTCTCATATCTGACCTCGACCGGTATCTGCTTGGCCAGTAAGGACGTCGATTGGAGCGCGACTAGAACTAAAACTGTATATTTGAAGAGCATGGTGGAAGGAACTAACTATACTGATGTTGATGAACTCTTGCGGTTGATTTTATAGGGGACGTCTTCTGTTTATAGTTCTTCTCTTTCGATGTCCAGCAGGCGCGAACGCAGAGACGGATTAAGGGAATGAAAAGCGGGTTAGCGAAATTTTTTTCGAAGAATGGTTAGTGCAAATGTGATGTATATTTTTATTTTCTGGGTCAGTAACGATAAAAAAAATATTTGTTATTTTAATAAAACGTATAATAATCGTTAGTTCTTGCTGCCTTAAAATAAGAAATACGCTAGTTTAGTAGGCATGTATAATTATTTAATTGTGTACAAGTACATTAAAATAATTATTATACAGGGTGTCCCAGGCTGAGCGTGCATTAGAAGTTTCTAGAAAGCCACAATATCTAGATCGGAGATTTTTTGCACATCATTGTTTTGCAACGAGATTTATCGATTAAAAATATTTTTAATATGGCGGCACCTCCGGAAATACCCGAAGCTGACAACAACTTTCTTATTTTAAATGGCTACCCCCATTTTTTATTACATACTTAAATTCGTATACTAGATTGCAAAATTCTCACAAAAATTGCAAAACACTCTATACCTAACATCAACCGTTTCTGAGAAAAAAAAATATTTAAAATTTTTGGACGAAAAAAATCACCTGTCAAAACAAAATTGTATAGCCCAAAAGTCAAATTTAGTGATTACAACAGCTATTGTGACATAAAGAAAAGACATGCAGCTATATATTTCAAAAATCAAATTGTTCAAATGTCATATAATAATGGCGGTAGCTGCCATGGAATAAAGCGATTAAAAAATTGTCATAAATAATTTTTTTAAATGGAAACCCACTGTTTTTATTTCATTAGTGAAAAGGTTTTTCAATTTGTTAGTTTTTAACTCTACTTACTATATTAACTATACTTGTTTCTATATCTAAAATAAATCGTTTTTAAGTTATTTAACATTTAGTTTCAAAACGTATATTTTTCTTGATTTTTTCTAGCTTCCTTTGACATTAAATGTCAGACAATTTATTTCTGTCTGTCTGAAAACGAATTATTTGAATTTTCTATATTAAAAATATTGCTGCTTTTAAATCTTTTTATAATATTTGAAACATTTAAAATTGTTTAAAAAATTATTTGTGATGTTTGAAAACAAAAATAGCATATTCTGTTCGGAGTAAAAATTACTTTTTGGGCCTCACCTGTAATGTCAAACGTACAGCCAGGCCACAAAAAGTATCATTTTGACTCCTAATGAAACAATATACTATTCTTACTTTTATGCTTAGGCTTTGGTTTTCTGCCTAGGCGTTAAAATTACGTTTTTATATTGTCAATCACGTTGCAAAAATTAATATTTTTGAGATGTTTGGTTTGGAAAAATATATTTCTTTGTTAAATTTTGACAACCACTGTTCCTGTCTTGTTCCTGTGTTTTTTTTCCTATAAATTTATTTCTACTACCATTGTTGCCATATTATTAAGATATTATAATTTTTAACTGAAATTTTAAAACTTTTTTCGAAAATACAAAAATTTTAAATATTTTTGTTCCGAGAAAACCTCATAAATGTGTTCCTGGAATCTAAATATACCACCCCGATTTATTTTCAGTTTGTTCAATTTGACTTATATTATTGCGACTATTTATTTCTTTATTTCCTTAAACAAAAAATCGAGTTATATAAAACAGATTTAGTGCATAAAAAAACAAAATATCAAATACTGACGGTCTTTTCATTTAACTTAAGCAGGAAACAGTCAAATGACAGTTTATCTAGTGAAAGTATTGTTCTATAAGTAACCATGCACAGATAGAACAAGCATTATTTTATACTCTGTTTTTTTTTTCTCAGGTAAGATTTTGACAGACGATGACAGAAGAAAAGCAGATGACGTCCCATACCAATCTATTTATTTTACTAAAAAAAGTTTCTAATATTTTTTAAGTTAACTATGGATAGGTTTAAATATAAATCCGTCATGCGTCGTTGTTATTAACCCGTTTAATTGGTTTATTTATAAAATGACAGATCATATTTCAATTTTATTGGTTTGACCTTTAAATAAGAAAACTAAGGAAGGAGCATAATGGGGCTATCCATGTATTCATGCATGGTGGGCGGAAAAAGGACTCTAGGGAGGGGATCCTTGATAGATCTGTTTGGCGATTTATTTGACACATTTGAATTTGATTTGAAATTTTGTGGATTTGTCAGTGTTTACGGAGCTTATTTTATGTTATTTATTATTTATTCTACTACTGATAGTTGTATAAAGGTAGTAAATCTAGATGGAAATTATGGCAGAACTTAAATTAACAGTGACACTATCGCGATTTATAGAAAAAGACTCTAAAATAGTTGGCTGTGTAGCGTGCGGTAGATCTCGGCAAAAATAGAGTGAAATAATGGAACAACTTTTCGCTAGTAAGTGACTATATAATATACATACGTGTAGTAAACCGATCATTTATGAAATTCACTTAAATTAACTAATTAATTAAATAATATTTTCTCTTGCATTTTTGCTTTTATTTACTACTTGTCAAAGATTAGATGTCAAAGAATTTAGATACGTCAATTTGACTTACCTGGTTCAGTAGCATATCGGATGTTTGTGCTAATAAATAATTTAAAGAAGGCGTCCATTCTTCTCAAAGAGACCTGGTTTAAATTAAAAAAGGTAGAAAAAACTTTGAGTCTTCCGAGACTTTGTCTTCCGAGATTTGAGTCTTTTTTCTACCTTTTTTTAATAAATAATTATTAAAACTTATCTATTTTTATTATAATAATATGTTTTTATAACAATTTTAGTAACTACAAACATACATATATTCACAACGTAAAATAAAAAAAAATATTGAGTCTACCCCACGTCTACCCTACATCATAGTTTTACATTTTTTAAATAAAATTAGAACGGCACTGATAAACCATGAATTTAAGTAGGCCATATTTGAGTCCCATCGCGGTGGACCTAAGATTTTTGATATGCTCCTTCTATGATTCTTCTCCTTCTTCTTGATATGCTCCTTAGTCTTTAAAGGGTTTGACGGAACGATTAACGACAAACGGACGCCGATGCGTATGAACTCGCTTTTAGATTTTTGAAGCTTGTCAAAGTCTCGCCAAATTATATGTTGTAATTTTGTGTCAAAATATGTCAAATATCTGCGTTTTGGAAGATGATGCATTTTGATTGGTGTTATTACGTGTGTTTTGTGTCTTTTGAAGTTGAAGTCAAGTAGAGGAAAAAACGAGCAAAATAAAAACACTAAATCACCACAATACACCAAAACACTTTTACTTTTACACTGGACGCGCGTTTCGCTAACCATGTTAGCATCATCAGCAGATGATTATAAACTAAAGTACAATCTACAAGGTGAGCGATTATATACTCGCTCAGTGGGCCCCGAGTGGGCGTGGCAAAATCTAGCCAACCGAGTCAGAGCCAACTGAGCGTAACAGTTAGATTTCCGCCACTAGAGTAGTAGGAACAAAGAACTTGAAGGAATTGGACCGTTGACTCTGTTCATACTATCTTTACATTTATTAATTCTGATGCTTTCATATGCATCTAATTGCCTGTAAAAATAAATGCAGTTGGCTCTGACTCGGTTGGCTAGATTTTGCCACGCCCACTCGGGGCCCACTGAGCGAGTATATAATCGCTCACCTTGTAGATTGTACTTTAGTTTATAATCATCTGCTGATGATGCTAACATGGTTAGCGAAACGCGCGTCCAGTGTAAAAGTAAAAGTGTTTTGGTGTATTGTGGTGATTTAGTGTTTTTATTTTGCTCGTTTTTTCCTCTACTTGACTTCAACTTCAAAAGACACAAAACACACGTAATAACACCAATCAAAATGCATCATCTTCCAAAACGCAGATATTTGACATATTTTGACACAAAATTACAACATATAATTTGGCGAGACTTTGACAAGCTTCAAAAATCTAAAAGCGAGTTCATACGCATCGGCGTCCGTTTGTCGTTAATCGTTCCGTCAAACCCTTTAAAGACTAAGGAGCATATCAAGAAGAAGTGTTTTTATTTTGCTGTGTAACACCAAAGGTTCCAACCCTCAACTGTAATAAAAAACGAGGTAAAATTAACTGTAGACCCAGAGCACATTTTATAGTTAATACTGGCTGCCCAGGCAGAAAGTCTTATACACCAATAAAGTTACCATCAATAAAGTTTGTATACCATCTCGTCGTAGATAAGTGCATCTCGTATATGGTACGAAGGATCGTACTAAACATATACACTAAAAACTGAAGTAGCTGTAAAATATCGACATCACAAGATAGGTAAATAATGGATTTTAGTACAGCAGAAAAATAATGTCAAAAGGGTTTAAAAAAATTAAGATTAAAGTTAATTAATTAATCAACCTTTAAGGTATAAAAATTTTGTAAGTGTTATTATTATTAAAATAGTTTGTTTTATTTATGCTGTTTTATTTATTCCTGCGGAATATTACAAATTTGTATGTATTTGTGCATAAGTTAGTTATATTGGTAAAATAATAAGCGGGAAGTTTCTTGAAGCTTGAGAGTAAATAGTTCTTTTTTTATACTTTTTTTGTCTGTGGTGTTTTGTTCTTGTTTGTTTTTATTACCACATACCGTTTTTTTTTAAATAAAATAACTCGATTACATTTTTTCAGTTTTATACAGTTTCTTTTTCACAATATTTTGAAGTAATCACTTATCAGTTAAATTTTAAATATATTAATTTCCTGCTATGCGTTCCAGTTGTACCAACTCATATCTTTGTAGAATAAAATAAACTACTTTGAAATTAAAATGACAGACAGATCTATCACTGTCAAGGATCTTCTCGTTGGACAGACTAATGGAAAAAGAATGAAAGAATATAATATAGTATATAATATAATTTTTTTCGAACCTCATGCACAAAAGTATTAATTTTTGCGACGTGATTGACAATTTAAAAAAGTAATTTTAACGCCTAAGCATAAAAGTAAAGCAGTTTTATGCCTAAGCATCAAAGC